GAGCTTGAGACCAGCTTGGCCAACATAGTGAAACTTTGTCTCTACTAAAAATACAAAATTAGCTAGGTGTGGTGGCACATGCCTGTACTCCCAGCTACTCGGGAGACTGAGACAGGAGAATTGCTTAAACCCGGGAGGTAGAGGCTGCAGTGAGCCGAGATTGTGCCACTGCTCTCCATCCTGGGCAAGATAGAGCAAGATTCTGTCTAAAAAAGAAAAAAACCAGTAACCTCGTTCACCTTTTGTGGTTTTCTGTCTAGTCTGAGTTTTTCTCTCTAGCCTGTCCCCTAAGCTCTTCTTTTCTACTTTTCTGCCTTCCCCTTCGTTTCTGACACCCTTCTAGCTCTACTTTACCACTCAGTTGTTCCAGCCACTACCCTCCCTCCCAACACAATACGCACACACATACACACACACACAAGAAAAAAAAAAGTATTGATTTAGAGGGACCCCTCAGAAGGTGGCAAGTCTCTGCTGGGGGAAGGAGAAGAGTTGACAGATGGAACAATTCTTGGCCAGGCATGTTGACTGACACCTGTAATTCCAGCATTTCGGGAGGCAGAGGCAGTAGGATCAGTTGAGACCAGCCTGGGCAACATAAGAAGAGCCCAATCTCTACCAAATATATATATATTTTAAATTAGCTGAGCACGGTGGTGCACACCTGTAGTCCTAGCTTCTTGGGAGGCTGAGGCAAGAGGATCACTTGAGCCTCCTATTGCTGCTGCAAGCTATCAGCGCACCCCTGTACTTCAGCCTGGGTGACACAATGAGACCCTATCTCAAAACAAACAAACAAGCAAAGACCTATAATTCAGTAGCTTCTGGACACATTGGAGGAGCTGCCTAGCTGGTCTGAAATCTCCATTGGAAGAGTACTAAACACTTTAGGAAGGTCCTGAAGTCTTTCTGGAATGATTACTTGAGAGGTGTCATTTTGAAAGGCACACTGGGTGGAAGTTTACAAAGGGTAAAGAAGCATTGCATACAGTCATATTGAATACTTTATGTTAGAATCCTAACTGTTTAATGTTTATGTTTTTATTTTTTAATGTTTATGTTTTTATATATTGTTTTATTTGATACTTTATAATGTTTGTAAATTTCCACATTTGAAATATGTTGAGTATTTAATTTCACTGATTTCTAAACATTGTTATACTTCTGCACACTTTTCAATTAAAATATTAGTATTAATACTTGCATGTATTAATACATGGAGTAAATACCAAGATACTGGTAGTGCAATTTGCTTTAGAATTATAATTATTACTTTGATTTTTCTGTCATGTTTAATGACAGGTTCAAAGACCATTTAAATTCTTCATTTGGAAGTTTTTAAATCTTAGAAAATTTTGAATCCATGTGTATGAAATTGCAGATAGGAGTTTTTATTGGTGACAGACATGTTCAGCAATAAAACCATCTAACAATGGAAACATTTCTAAACATTTATTATTATACAAAGAATGTTCTTTTTTTAAAGCAACTACTTTCTCAGGTAATTAAAATACTATCTTTATCTTGAAGGGAGATAAATTAAGTATGTGGGAGGGGGTTGTTTTTAATATCCGCTGTGTACCTATGTAGCATACGATTGACAACTATGTGTCATCATAGAAAAAGTCATCAAATTCGGAGTAGTTGTTTCTTGTAGAAGAAAAATAGGTAGCTTGTTTAAGTTTGCCACAACATAACCGATAAATTTCTGTATGATACAAAAGATTTTTTAGTCTCTCTCAACCTCTCTACTAAATTTTGAAAGGATGTGTCCACTTAAAATCTATTTTTAAAAGTTTATTTTTGATATATCACATGTACAAAGAAGTGCCTCATATATGTACAATTTAAGAAGTATTTATAGGCCAGGTACAGTGACTCATGCCTGTAATCCCAACACTTTGGGAGGCCAAGACAGGAGGATTGCTTGTGCTAGAAGTTTGAGACCAGCCTGGGCAATATGGCAAGACCCTGCCTCTATTTTTAAAATTTTTTAAATTAGCCAGGCATGGTGGTGTGCGCCTGTGGTCCGAGCTACTTGGGAGGCTGAGGCTGAGGCAGGAAACTTGCTTGAGCCCAGATGGTTGAGGCTACAGTAAACCATGGCCTAGACCTCTGGCCTAGGCGATAGAGTAAAACGCTCTCTCAAAAAACAAAGAAAGAAAGAAAGAATAATAAAGCCAACACCCATCCAAGCAACATAAGGTCAAAACGCAGTTCTCCATGTGTCCTTCACCAAACACATCCCCCATCCTCCCTAGGGATGGCCACTATCTTGACTTTGTATAATAATTTCCCTATGGTTTGTAATAGTTTTGTTGTCTGCATATCCGTAAATACTGAATTCAGTTGCACCTGGTTTTGTACTTCATTTGGGGTACAGACCTTCTTAAGAGTGATGACATTGTTGTTAAATTTCAGAGAAGCATAACTGGTCAGTAGGAGGGTGGAGACAGATGTATAAGCCAAAAATTTTTAAGGAATTTAAGGAGTGGAATCTAGAAAAGGTATTAGGTAGAAATAAGGTTTCTCTGTTTATATGTGTATTAAATGAAAATATGAGGTTTGACTCACATTTTAAAATATTTTGTAAATTTTGCTTAATATTGAAAGCATTTTTTCTGTGGCATGACCATAAATATGTATAAGGTAAGATAAATATGACTTCTTTATTTTCAGTGTGGCACAGCTGAACTACATTTCAAATGAGAAGTAATATTGATAGGGAGCAGTCATGTGAACTATGATCAAAAAAAGAAAGCCCAAGTTTCAAAAGTCTTATTCTGAATATTCTCTGTATAGTATTGTTTAATTTTAAAAGTGTTTTCAGATCCAACTAAAGTTCAATTTAAAAATATAGTTTATATTTTTTTCTTCCCAAATGAAGCTTTAAGCATATGTTTCTAATAATTCAGTTAAATATGCTGAGTTGTATATTTTTTGAAGAGACTGTTTTGAAAAGATTCCAGAATATTTGTTTGAATAGGCACTCAGCATCTCGATGAAAACTGTTGGAAAAGAAAAACTTTCAGAGTCATTCTGCCCTCAGAGTAGTCAAGCCAACTAAACTGGTGCAGTTAACACTTCTGTGAGAAACCAGGAGCCAAGATATTTAGCACTTCCTGACTGCTTTTCAGCAAGCAGGCCTCAAACCAACTTAGTGGTTGGAACTAATACCATTGAATTTTTAAAGTAAAAGGCTAGCAATAGAACACCTACATCTCTTTCTATCAGTATGATACTTATCAGTCTCTTTTGGTAATCCATGACTAGCTTCAGTCTTTGCATTATGTTGGTATTAAAGCTATCATTCTTTCTTGAATTTTGTAGGGCATCATTCTTGCGAAGCAAAAAGAATGCACTATAGAGTGTGACCCCAGGTATAATTAAGCCATCTGCCAGATATAAATATTTTTTATGTTGCTTTTTAGTACCACTGAGTGTCGTAGTAGAGATACAAATATATTGGACATCATAATGCTTTGAGATAATTGGTAGTTACAGCAGACTACCAAATTTACAAGTAGGGATTGCGTTTTCAGCTTCTGACCCATTCATTTTTATTATATCCCTTTGAAATATATTGACACCACTTAATTCACTTAACAATAATATGCTTAGTGTCTTAGTTCATTTTATACTGCTGTAACAGAATACCTGAGACTGGGTAATTTTAAAAGAACAGAGATTTATTTCTTATAGTTCTGGAGACTGGGAAGTCCAAGGTCAAAGGGCCTACATGTAGGGAGGGACTTCGTGCTTATCACCACATTGTGGAAGGGCCAAAGAGACCATGAGAGAGAGTAGGGGGAAGGAAGGGAACTGAACTCATTCTTTTACCAGGAACCCACTCCTATGATACTAACCTGCTCCCAAGATAATGTCATTAATCTGTTTGTGAACTCAGAGCCCACATGACCTAATCACCGCTTAAAGGTTCCACTGTTGGAACTGTTGCATTAGGGATTTTCTTCCAACACACAAACTTTGGGGGACATATTCAAACCACAGCACTAGTATATATGATACGTCATATTGATCCCTATATTCACGTATTTGCTCTATAAGTGCTCTATTTACATATTCATTGAATTGACCTATATAGTACCCAGCATATTTAGGTGGTGTGGTAAAAAACAAATAATAAAAGATTCAAAGATTCTGTATGCTAACTAGAGAGATAAAACTAAGTTTAACACCTCTGCTACCGTTTCTCAAATATCACAGAATTAATAAGAAAAATAGCAGAAATTAAATGTTCAGTCACTTGGTTTTTCAAGTACTTCCCACAAGATTAGATTAATGGCTGGGTGTGGTGGCTCATGCCTGTAATCCCAACACTTTGGGAGGCGAAGGCAGGCAGATCACCTGAGGTCAGGAATTGGAGACCAGCCTGGCCAACATAGTGAAATACCGTCTCTACCAAAAATACAAAAATTAATCAGGCATGGTGGTGCACACCTGAGTACATGTATTTGTACAACATTATCAAAACAAACCAACAAAGACCTATAATTCAGTAGCTTCTGGACAGAACGGAGGAGCTGCCTAGCTGGTCTGAAACCTGAGTACTACCAGAGTAGTCCCAGCTACTCTGGAGGCTGAGGCCAGAAAATTGCTTGAACCCAGGAGGTGGAGGTTGCAGTGAGCCGAGATCGTGCCACTGCACTCCAGCCTGGGCGACAGAGTGAGACTCTGTCTCAAAAAAAAAAAAAAAAAAAATTAGGTTAACAGTATCTCCAGAAATGATTACCATATATTACTACATTTTAAGTTTCTTTCAGAACTGTAAGTATAAAGTAGTTATGTGGAACCAATGATAAATCTGGATTTTTTTTCTTCTTTATTTGGATCTGTGCCTGAAATGGCAAATTATGTACAATTTGGGGCACAGTGTCACTTATGACTTCAAGGAGTCTAAGAATCAGCAGTCTAAGAATCTTTTATGAAAAGATACAGTCTTTTCATAAAACTCTGCCTGGTCTTTTCATTTTGGATAGTATATTACTGGAAACTTCAGAAGAAAATGAGGGAGTGTCAGAAAGAAACCGAAGAGGTTGGTGACTGAAAAGGATGATTGAACACCAAAATCTGCAGTTGATTAGGATGCAGTCGTGGAAAGGAAGCATATATATAAATAAGAGGGTATGTTACTAAAATCCACAAAAAGTAGAATGAGGCAAAATATCTCCATTGTCCTGATGTTCCATTTTATACTGATTTGGATAAGTTTCATAAGGGATCTGATAGTTGAGGTCACTAATCCTTAATACATGAACCAAGGAATAAGAATTCTGTTTATCATAGGAAATAGCTTTGGCCCATAAGGAAGGAGTAGAGACTCTTCAGGAGAGGGACATTTTAGTCCATAATTTCTCTGATTTAGTGCCAAAAGCTTTTTTGAGAGACTATTCAAAGCTGTCTTAAGTTTCATTGTTGGAAACTGATAGCTGCTATATTTCTTTTTAATAACTGTTTTGAGTTCTTTCTGTTTTGTCTTCTCTGATGCTAAATTCCTGAAGATTAAAAAAGTGTGCTTAAAGTAAAAGTGTTATGAGACAAAAGCTTTATTCTGTGGATAGGATAATACTTCTTTTGTGACATTTTCTTTTTGCACCAAAAGTGAGAAGTCAATGCCTTGCCTTTGTGCATCCCATTACTAATGTAGGACAAGAAGTTATTTTCTTCAAAGGCTGACTTCCAGAATTTTTGGCTGAACACTTTTTGTCAAGTATATATTCCCTTCTGTAGGCCTTTCTATATAGAGCCCACAAACATCGTGAATGTGAATCATGTCATTCAGAGGGTTAGTGACCATGCCTCCGCCATGAACAAGAGAATTCATTACTACAGCCGGCTCACCACTCCTGCAGACAAGGCACTGGTAAGAGACAAAACATTACTAATAGTCTAAAATTCAGATGAAATGAACAGTGAACAATATAAGCCAGGGCACCTCCCAGTGATTGAACTTTTTTCTGACTGTATTTCAAGGACAGCATCATGCAAAGTCAAAGACAGTAATTAATACACTTCCTACATCTCAGGCCAGTTCATTCTTATCTAAATTTGACACAATCTTTCTGTGTTGACAACAACCTGGAGATTTTTTTGGAAAATTCCCCTGATCCTCATGCCCCAAATCTCTGAGGAGGATAAATTACTTTTGAAATGGCAGGTTAGGCCATTGACTAATAGCAAATAATAACAGGTTCTGCTTAGTGTGGTCAATTTTTAACTTTGAAGCTACAAGGGAAATAGTTTTTTAGAAATTTTCTACAAGAATGGGAAACTGGCCGAGCACAGTAACTCACGCCTGTAATCTCAGCATTTTGAGAGGCCAAGGCAAGAGGATCACTTGGGCCCAGGAGTTCAAGACCAGCCTGGAGAAGATGGTGAAACCCTGTCTCTACAAAAAAAAAATGTTTTTAATTAGCCAAGTGTGATGGCTCGCACCTATAGTTCCAGCTACTTGGGAGGCTAAGACAGGAGGATCCCTTGAGCCCAGGATGGATCCCTTGAGGATGCAGTGAGCTGTGATTGTGCCACTGCATTCTCCTGAGCGAGAGAGTGTGACCCATCTCTTTTTTAGATGGTGTGTCGCTCTATCACCCAGGCTGGAGTGCAGTGGTGCGATCTTGGCTCACCACAACCTCTGCCTCCTGGGTTCAAGCCATTCTCCTGCCTCAGCCTCCCGAGTAGCTGGGATTACAGGTGTGTGCCACCACGCCTGGCTAATTTTTGTCTTTTGAGTAGAGACGGGTTTCACCATGTTGGCCAGGCTGGTCTTGAACTCCTGACCTCGTGACCCACCCACCTCGGCCTCCCAAAGTGCTGGGATTACAGGCGTGAGCCTCTGTGCCCAGCCATGTGACTCCATCTCTTAAAAAAAAAAAAAAGGGAAACTGAAATACGTACATACATAAATATAGTAGTTTCTTATTTAGCATTATTCTTTTATTGATCAAAACCAAGAGTCAAAGGGCCAGATACTAAATGTCTTAGACTTTGAGGTCACATACTGTCACATGATATTCTTCATTTTATGATCATCAAAATTATAAATTAAAAATTTATAAAATTATAAAAACCATTCTCAGGAAAGAGGCTATATAATAATCAGGTTGAAGCCAGATTTGGCCTATGAGCCAGAGTTTGTTGACCGTTGATCTTCTAAAAATCTCTATTACTATTTTAGGATAAAAAATATGTAAATAATTTGGTAGTTTATAAAAACTACCACATATGGGATATTCAGAAACTTGCAAGTTTAACTGAAAATGAGAACATTCTGGGAGAAAATAGGATTTTAAAATTAGTATTATTAATAAAAAGAGAACCAACATTCATTAACATTTAATAAGGACCAGTGATTGGGCATCACTGGAATGTAGCTATCTCATTTAAGCCTAAACAATAGCTATGTGAAATAAATATTAAGATTTCCTCTTGCATGGCCAAAATAGGGATTTCCAAAATGTTCTAGGTAGGGTAATTTTTTTCTCAATTTTTTTTTGGCTTTTTCCCCTTAGGCCTTGACATTAGTAGTTGTGGTAAAGTCTTAGTTGCATAATGGAATTACTTAAGCCCTTGGAGAAGTAGAGGTAATCCAGTATCTCTGGGTCTAGTTGAGACCTTCTAGAGGCTCTGCTCTTGGAAACAAACCCCCGAGATCTCAGCTGAGCACGTTTATACTTGAATGTATATTGTTTGCCTGGAGATAGAGTCAGCATGTGCACCAAAGTTGAATGCCGTTTGTTAACTGATGCTGAGATGAGTCTAGCAAGTCAAAGTATGTAAACAGTGATATAAAATTAACAATGATATAGCCATTCTTAATGAATGTGTGTATACATCCACACTCGTTTTCTGAAAATCCCAAATTATTTTGGATTTTTAAACTCTTGCTTTTTTAGTTAGATTTTCTATATTTGAAAAAGAATTTTTTAATTCACTAATCAGGGATGCATAGTACTTGCATCCACACTCGTTTTCTGAAAATCCCAAAATTATTTTGGATTTTTAAACTCTTGCTTTTTTAGTTAGATTTTCCATTGAAAAAGAACTTTTTAATTCACTAATCAGGGATGCATAGTACTTGTTTATGATAGTTAAAATGTGTCTAGAGGGCCAGGCATGGTGGCTCACGCCTATAATCCCAGCACTTTGGGAGGCTGAGGCGGGTGGGTCATGAGGTCAGGAGATCGAGACCATCCTGGCTAACACTGTGAAACCCCATCTCTAAAAAAAATACAAAAAATTAGCCAGGCGTGGTGGTGGGCGCCTGTAGTCCCAGCTACTCGGGAGGCCAAGGCAGGAGAATGGCGTGAACCTGGGAGGCGGCACTTGCAGTGAGCCAAGATTGCATCACTGCACTCCAGCCTGGGCGACAGAGTAAGACTCCATTCAAAAAAAAACAAAAAAAAAAAGGTGTCTAGAGTCAGGTGATGTGATGTGTAGAAAATATCCCATTTTGCATTTCCTGGTTCTGACATTTCTCTATGTTTCCTTTTTACCAGATTGCCCCAGACCATGTAGTTCCAGGTCCAGAAGAGTGCTATGTGTATAGCCCATTGGGCTCTGCTTATAAACTTCAAAGTTACACTGAAGGATACGGTAAAAACACCAGTTTAGTAACCATGTGAGTGAAATGGCTTTTTGGAGCATGACTTAAACTGTATGTGAATGAAAATTACTGGTTATTTTTTGTCTCAATTCAAATGTTTGAAGAGGCAAACTCCATTTTTTTTACTGCTATTACTCTGTGTTTTCAGTTTTATGATTTGGAATACCATGATGGGAACATCTATACTAAGCATTCCTTGGGGCATAAAACAGGTAATACTAATTTTTTAGCACACTTTTTGCCTAAATGATTTTCTCTTTATATTGCAAGTTTTATAACAGAGGTTTTAATGAATCTACATAAAATTCATGAAAGAAAATAGATGGTTATATTTAGTTTTTCATGAGTTGTCAAGTTTTTACCATGATTGTTTAGGGTAAAATAATTGCATATGAATTTGTGCTTACATGCTGATGTATGCTGTTTTATACTTTTATTTTTAAACAGGCTGGATTTACTACTGGAATGTGTGTCATCATACTGATGGGCCTTTTAACACTTTATTGCTGCTACCGAGTAGTGAAATCACGGACTATGATATGTAAGAATTTGACACAGTGACAATAGATTATGGGTATTAATAAGCATTTCCCTTTGAGGCAGGTCACTAGTGTGTATATGCCACATGTGCGTCAACTGTCTACTTTGTACCTAAAGATTTACTTCTGTAATTCATTGCTTTCAGCTAAATTGAATTTGTTAATAATATATTAGTGGCTGCCTTTGAAATTCAGAGAAGCTGGGAGTTACTTGCAGAGAGCATTCACTGTGGTGCTAGTTTCTTCATAAGAATCATTTAAAAACTCATATTTATAAAATAATGTCTTTGCTAGAACTAAATTGAGAATTCTATGCTTCCTGTCAGTTAATGGTGACTTGTTTTTACCTATTGATACCAAAAGATCTAAATGTTAGAATCTCCTAAATATGAAAATGTAAGCAACTCTCTAGTAATGAATATTTGAAGTTGTGTGAACACCTTACCTCTACTCTATCTACATATTCTGGATCAGGGAAATATATTTTTTAGGTTGTTTTAAAGTAGTCTAGGACCTAAACAAACATGCATTATTTCATTAAATCTTAGCAAGTATGAATCAACAGACCAGACTTTGCCTCCAGTTTTTTTCTGTGCCTACTAAGCAGCTTTCTTCTTTATGTTAACCAGATCTAGTGTTAGTCATTGGGCGAGTATTTGTTTAAAAGTCTTGAGAAGCCAGACCTGGTGGTGTGTGCCTGTAGTCCCAGCAACTCAGGAGGCATAGGTGGGAAGATCACTTTAGTCCAGAAGTTTGAGGCCAGCCTTGGCACTGTAGCAATACTCCATCTTAAAAAAAAAAAAAAAAAAAAAAAAAAGAATAAAAAAGTCTTGAGAGAGGATTCATTCTGGTTTCTAAATGGTAAAAGGAGATAATTTTAGCCTCTGGTTTAAGGCAAATTGTGGCTAAACTTGGAAGACTTCTTTAAACATATACAGTAAGTTCATATCTTATCTAATTCAGCATCTAATTTAAAATTGGGACAGAGCCCCCAGAGAGTTCTCTCTATAACTTTTTTCTTTTCTTTTCTTTCTTTTCTTTTTTTTTCTTTCTGAGACAGGGTCTCACTCTGTCACCCAGGCTGGAATGCAGCAGTGCTGTCACAACTCACTGCTGCCCGGACCTCCCGGGCACAGGTGATTCTCCCACCTCAGCCTCCTGGGTAGCTGGGACTACAGGTGCATGCCATCATGCCCGGTTAATTTTTTGTGTTTTTCATAGAGACAGGGTTTCACCATCTTGCTCAGGTTGGTCTCGAACTACTGGGTTCAAGTGATCTGCTCACCTCAGCCTCCCAAAATGCTGGGATTATTGGCTGTATAACTGTTAACTCCCATGTTATTACATTATTCCACACCATTTAAAAAGAAGAGAGGCTGAGGCCCAAGAATTGCTTGAACCCAGGAAGTGGAGGTTGCAGTGAGCCAAGATTGTGCCACTGTACTTCAGCCTGGGTGATGGAGTGAGACTGTGTCTCAAAATAAAATAAAATAAAACAAAATAAAAATCTTCCACCAATTCAGTTTACAAAGTCCACACACCCATAACACAAAGCCTGACATGACCAAAAATAAAGAAAATAATATATAGATGTAAAATTTATTTGTAAAACATTATCATATAGAATCCAACAGCGTATCAAAAGCATATCCTGTGTCTAAGATAAGGTTTATTCCAGTAATGCAAGAATGTTTCATTATTAAGAAATCCAACATAATTCACTACATTAACAAATTAAAGGAAAATTGATAATTGCTTCAATAGCTATCAAAAAGGTACTTAATAGAATTCAGCATCTGTTTCTGATTAAAACTCTAAGTGAAAAGCACTACTTAAAAATAACAAAGTCTATTTATTCCCAGACAAGTACCAGCACCATTCTAAAATTATGAAATGCTAAAGCAGTTTTCATTAAAGTCAAGAAAACATAGAAATGTTCAAAATTAATCAGTTTTTTTGGAGATATTGTCAAATGCAGCAAAAAAAAAAAAAAACCTAAATATAAAAACTAGAAAAGACTTAGAATTATATTATCAGTCAAAAGATAATTTTATTAGAAATGCTAAGAGTCACTCAGCTCACTGCAACCTCCTCCTCCCAGACAAGCAATTCTCATGCCTCAGCCTCCCCTGTAGCTGGGACTACTGGCGCCCACCACCGTGCCTGGCTAATTTTTGTATTTTTTTTCTTTTTCTTTTTCTTTTTTTTTTTGAAACACAGTCTCATTCTGTCACCCAGGCTGGAGTGCAGTGGCAGGATCTGCAAGCTACGGCTCACTGCAAGCTACGGCTCACTGCAAGCTACGCCTCCTGGGTTCATGCCATTCTCCTGCCTAAGCCTCCCAAGTAGCTGGGACTACAGGTTCCTGCCACCGGGCCTGACTAATTTTTTGTATTTTTAGTAGAGATGGGGTTTCACCATGGTCTCGATCTCCTGACCTCGTGATCCACCCGCCTCGGCCTCCCAAAGTGCTGGGATTACAGGCATGAGCCACCGTGCCCAGCAATTTTTGTATTTTTTGTAGAGATGGTGTTTTGCCATGTTGGCCAGGCTGGTCTCAAACTTCTGACCTCAAGTTGATCCACCTGCCTCGGCCTCCCAAAGTGCTTACAGGCATGAGCCACTGCACCCAGCCAAAACAGTTATTCTTTATAGTGATATTGTCCTCACATTCTTTATCTAGATGTGAATTATATTCTAATGTCCCCAACTTTTCAGGCTTATCACTGCTTTCTGCCATGTACTAGCTGCCATATTTTGCTTCAAAGATGGCAGAACTTCAGTTTTTCCGTATTCATCAACCGTGACAATTATTTCAAAGTAGTTCAAAGCATGGGATCATAGAGGAAAAAAGACTGTACAATTATCCTTTGATGACAATTAATATACTCTTTCATAGGTTATACTTATCTATATTCTTTCTTGAACATTGAAATGTAAAACACAAAGTTTATATTGTTAATATAATAACCCTATCATGGAAAAGCAAATGGTTTTCGTTTTTTGTTTTCTTATGTAAATTTATATCCTAAATGATAGGAATCTCTAAATACATGCTTTTTAAAGTTAATCATATTGTATTTTAGTTGTCTTCTACTTTATTACCTATTTTTTAGTACATGTTATGTTTCTACAATCACCATTTGTGTCTCTTAATGATTGTATACAGTTGCGCATGGCAGCTCTATTGTATTTGTTTAATCATTGCCCTATGTCGTATGTTAAAGTCATTGCTTGTTTTTGCTATTCTCAAGAATACTCTTCTAAAAATATTTTATATATACTTTCTGTATTCTTTTAAATTACTTTCTTTTTGGTGCAGTGGTGGGATCATGGTTCACTGCAGTCTCAACCTCCTGGTCTCAAGGGATCCTCCCACCTCAGCCTCCTGAGTAGCTGGGACTACAGGTGCACGCCACCACACCTAGCTAATTTTTGTATTTTTGTAAATATGGGATTTTGCCATGTTGCTCAGGCTGGTCTCCAACTCCTAGGCTCAAGCAATCTGTCCACCTCAGCCTCTCAAAGTGCTGGGATTATAGACCTAAGCCACCATGCCCAGCCCTCTTTGTCTTTTTCATTGTAATTTGTTTCTTCAGTTGCTAGGAGAGGATAACCTTTCATGTTCTATTTCTACATTATGTTTTTTAACTTTTTTGTTATTTAATTTCTTTCTTTTCTTTTTTTTTTTTTTTTTTTTTTTTTTTTTGAGATGAAGTCTTGCTCTGTCATCTAGACTGGAGTACAGTGGCATGATCTCAGCTCATTGCAACCTCTGCCTCCCAGGTCAAACGATTCTCACGCCTCAGCCTCCAGAGTAGCTGGGACTACAGGCGTGCCACTATGCCCAGCTAATTTTTTTGTGTTTTTTGGTAGATACGGGGTTTCACCATGTTGACCAGGCTGATCTCAAACTCCTGACCTCAAGTGATCTACCCACCTCGGCCTGCGAACGTTCTGGAATTATAGACATGAGCCATCACGCCCCAGTCTGTTTGACTCAGTTTTCTGAAATTTATATTGGCATGTGGTAGAAAGTGTGACTCAAGAAACTTTCCCCAATGTTGTTGTTCGAATATGCCCAATATTACATAATATTTTCTGGCTCTTACTGATGTATTTGTCTAACCTTAGTTTATTACTTGCTTTTATTGATTATAAAATGTTATGATACTGTAATCTGTTTCTCAGGTTACCTGTACTATTTTATTTACATTTCTTTTTTTATTTTTCTATAATGTTTTAATTTTATTATCTCATAATATATTCTAATGTCTAGCGATAGAATACCCATAATATTTTGCCAAATATTTTGAGTTTATTTGGGGAACACAGATTATGAATATGGAATATATGTTCAACATTTAGTTTTATTCTTTCTCTTACTTTATCTAGCTTCGTTGGATACCACTACCTGGGAATATCCAGATGTCTGCAGACATTATTTCGGCTCCTTTGGGCAGTGGTCGAGTCTCCTTTTCTCCTTGGTGTCTCTCATTGGAGCAATGATAGTTTATTGGGTGCTTATGTCAAATTTTCTTTTTAATACTGGAAAGTTTATTTTTAGTAAGTATCTATATCATATGCTTTTAACACAGTACTTTCAAATGCAATTACCACTGTAATGTTAGTTCTAGCCTTAAATTCTAGGACTTGGGATAAATAAAATAAGAAGTAACATATATAATTTTGGAAAATATATTTTATTCAGTTTGCTTTCTGTGGTTGTGATCTCAAATATAGTGTACACTTATTTCCAAACATTAATCTTTGAATGAATAATATTCCTCCAAAATCTTTAGTTAATATAAAATATATCTATAATCCAGCAGATCTTTTAAGTTTGTTTCACTAAAGAATTTGATATGTAGACTCTAGGGGAAACAAATTTCAGCCACTTATTTTCAACATATTAGGATGTAAGATTAGGAAGTCAAAGAATAATGGAATTTATGTGATAAATATGTTATTAATATTTATATATCACAGAATTATAATTTATCTAAATCAGCTACTTAAATTCTGAAGAGAATCTTAGAAATCAGTCCAAATACTTTTTATAATTTTTTTTAGGTTGGATAGAGGAAGTTCATTTTTTTACTTAATGAAATTTTTTTTTTCCTTTTTTTGAGACAGGGCCTTGCTATGTTGCCCTGGCTGGTCTCAAACTCCTGGGCTCAAGTGATCCCCCCACCTCAGCCTCCTGGTTACAGGCTCATGCCACTGAACTGGAAGTTTATTGTATAAGATACCAAACCTTTTTCCATATAAAGGTTTTACTAAAGTTTTCACTAAACCTAAAGTTTAATGTATGTTTAGCAGCTTTAAATAAAACATATATTTAAAATCTGGATTTATGTGAAAACCAAATTTCAAAATAAGTCCTAACATAATCACAACAGCTAATTTCCCTAAGAGCCTTTGAATGAGGGAGATAAATTCTGTTTTATTTTAAACTTTAAAGAATAAAATTAACTTTATAATTTTTATTGCCAAGCATTTTTATTGTTTTTTTGGGGTTTTTTTGAGACGGAGTCTTGCTCTGTCACCCAAGCTGGAGTGCTGTGACACAACTTGGATCACTGCAACCTCCACCTCCCAGGTTCAAGTGATTCTCCTGCTTTGGCCTTCTGAGTAGCTGGGATTATAAGCGCCCATGATAATACTCAGCTAATTTTTGTATTTTTAGGGATGGGGTTTCACCATGTTGGCCAGGCTGGTCTCAAACTCCTGACCTCAAGTAATCCTCCCACCTCGGCCTCCCAAAGTGCTGGGATTACAGGCATGAGCCACTACACCTGGCCTCAAGCATCTTTATTGTTTTTAAAGAACTATGAAATATTTCAAACTACAAAAAAATGCAAAAGCTAATATAAATACCAGTATACTGACTAATGAGTTTTTGGGTCTCATTTGTCTTATTTTTATTAGATCTCTTTTTTTTTTTTTTTTTTTGGTAGAGACAGAGTGTCAGTATGTTGCCTAGGCTAGTTTCTACCTCCTGGCCTCAGGCGATTCTCCCATCTCAGCTTGCTAAGTGGCTTGAATTATAGGCATAAGCCAGGTGTGGTGGCTCATGCCTGTAATCACAGCACTTTGGGAGGACGAGGCGGGTGGATCACCTGAACTCAGGAATTCGAGACCAGCCCGGCTAACATGGTGAAACCCCGTCTCTACTAAAAATACAAAAATTAGCTTGGTGTGGTGGCACATGCCTGTGATCCCAGCTACTTGGGAGCCTGAGTCACGAGAATCTCTTGAACCTGGGAGGCAGAGGTTGCAGTGACTGAGATTGTGCCACTGCACTCCAGCCTGGGCAACAGAGCAAGACTCCATCTCAAAAAAAAAAAAAAAAAAATTATAGACACAAGCCACTGTGCTTAGTTAGTTCTGTATTCCTATAAAAAGAAAATATTATGGATAGTGTGGAAGCCCCACATGCACTCCTTCTCCATCTCATTTTCCTTCTCTTAATTTGGTGTTTATCAATCCCATGCACTTTTTGGACTTTTACTGCATGAATATAAGAGCAACATATACTATTTGGGGTTTTTTTGTTTTGTTTTTTGGGGGTTTTTTGTTTTGTTTTTTTGAGATGGAGTCTCACTCTGTCGCCAGGCTGGAGTGCAGTAGTGAGATCTCAGCTCACTGCAATCTCCACCTCCCAGGTTCAAGCAGTTCTCCTGCCTCAGCCTCCCGAGTAGCGGAGGTCACAGGTGTGCACCACCACACCCAGCTAATTTTTGTATTTTTAATAGAGACAAGGTTTCACCATGTTGGCCAGGATGGTCTCTATCTCCTGACGTCATGATCCGCCCACCTCAGCCTCCCAAAGTGCTGGGATTACAGGTGTGAGCCACGGCGCCAAGTGGCTTGTTTTTAATCTACGCAAATGCTTTTGCAACTTGCTTTCTGTCTTTCATCATCTCTATTAATACACAAAGTTCATTCTAATTGTTTGTAATATTTAGTAATATGAATATACAACTTTTTTATCTGTTCTCATTGATAAACATTTAATTTGTTTTCACTTATTGTGCAAGGCTTTATTAAACATCCTTATTTCTGTCTCCTTGTGTACATGGCGGGGAGTTTCTCCAAGCTATGGACCTTACAGACACATTTCTGGAACTTAAGATATTCACATTTTCAACCTTACTTGAAATTGCAGAATTGTTCTTTATCATGCTTGTACCATTTAACACTCCTGCCAACAGTTTATGAAAGTTCCCCTTGTTCCACATCCTCACTCACACTCAGTATTATCAGACTTAAATTTTGCCATCAGGATGTGGTTTTAATTTGCATTTCTCCTCATAAGGAGTGGCATTAATCATCTTTTCTTAATTATATTGACCATTAAATAGCTTATTCATATCCTTTGCCCATTTTTCTATCAGGTTATTGGTCCTTTTCTTACCTATAGGAACTCTGTAAAGTTTGAATACTAACCTTTTATCCATTATTGTGTTGCAAATATCTTCTAATTAGTGACTTGTCTTCTCTTTTTATATGGTAGCTCTATGTTATTCAAAAGTTTTTTATTTTAAAATTACTGTTTTTCTCCATTATGATTCACAACTCTTCCATATACATTTTAGAATCAACTTACCAAGTTCCACAAAATTCCAATCAGAATTTGATTGGAATTGCATTGATTTTATCAGTTGGTACACAGTACAGTAATTGATATCGTTGCATATTGAGTTAGAATTTGATTGACATTGCATTGGATTTATTGATGTGGAGAGAATTTATATCATTTAGATACTGAGTCTTCCTATTCATGACTTTGGCATGGCATAGTTCTTTGTTTATTTAGGTTTTCAATTTTTTTTTTGATAAAGATCTTACATATCCTTTTTTTGTGGACTTTTTCCTCGGGATCTTAACATTTTTTCTGTAACTATAGTTTTAGTATACAAATACGCAGTATAAAAACTGCGTATTTTTTATAATAAAATATAAAAAATCTCAAACACATACCAAAAAAACAGAATAGTATAATTTCTCCTTACCTGGTTTAAACAGTTATCAACATTCTGTCATTTTAAAATCATCTATAGTAGTGTTTTTCAACCATTTTTTCATTATTGTCCCTTCAAGGAGCCTTTTAGATGTTTTTTTCTGATCACCCCTCCCATGAAATTTTAATACCAAAGATACACTGTAAATCTCTTTATGAACTGTATACATATATATGCTTTATCTGTAAGAAGAGTTTCTTTCACCCCCTAAGAATGAATTTTGTCTCTTTTGAGACTAACATCACATCCATTAAGATGACATAAACCATGCTACTCCCACTCCCCACCTAGTTCAACTATTAGTATATATATAGTGCTTCTTTTAGATAGAATTTACTCATTGAAATAAACAAGTCTTAATTATACATACATACATCTATACAACCCACACCTCCTTCAACAAATAGAACATTTCCATCTTCCCAGAAAGCAATGATATATTTTTGATTATACAGTCAAATTATTTGTTGCTGTTATAAAAGAACCTAATTACATTTTGAATGTTTTTTTTTTTTTTTTTGAGACAGGGTCCCACTCTTTCACCCAGCCTCTGGGGTGCAGTGGTGTGATCACAACTCACTGTAGCCTTGACCTCTCCAGGCTCAGGTGATCCTCTCACCTCAGCCTCCCGATCTAGCTGGGACTACAGGCAAATACCACCACCATGCCTGGATAATTTTTGTATTTTTTGTAGAGACAGGTTTCGTCATGTTGCCCAGGCTGGTCTTGAACTCCTGAGTTCAAGTAGTCTGCCTGCCTTGGCCTCCCAAAGTGCTGGGATTACAGTCATGAGCCACCGTGCCCTGCCCCTTGAATGTTTATCTTGAATCTAGCAAACTTACTGAACTCTTACTGATTCTAAAAATTTTGTAGCTGGGCATGATGGCTCACGCCTGTAATCCCAGCACTTTGGCAGGCCGAGGTGGGTGGATCACGAGGTCAGGAGATCGAGACCATCCTGGCCAACACGGTGAAACCCTGTCTCTACTAAAAATACAAAAAAATTAGCCAGCCTTGGTGGCTGGTGCCTATAGTCCCAGCTACTCGGGAGGCTGAGGCAGGAGAATGGCACGAACCCGGTGGGGTAGAGCTTGCAGTGAGCGGAGATCATGCCACTGCACTCCAGCCTGGGTGACACAGTGAGACTCCGTCTCAAAAAAAAAAATAGAAATAAAAAATAAAAATTTTGTGGATGTACTTTGTATTTCCTATTTAAATAATCATATCATCTGTGAATTTAAAAAGCTTTCTGGCTGGGCTTAGTGGCTCACGCCTATAATCTCAGCAGTTTGGGAGGCCAAGGCAGGCAGATCACCTGAGGTCAGGAGTTCGAGATCAGCCTGGCCAGCACAGCGAAACCCCGTCTCTACTAAAAGTACAAAAATGGCCCAGGCGTGGCGGTGGGCCCCTGTAATCCCTGCTACTCAGGAGGCTGAGGCAGGAGAATCACTTGAACCTGGGAGGTGGAGGTTGCAGTGAGCCATGGTCGTGCCACTGCACTCCAGCCTGGGCAACAAGAGCGAGACTCCATCTCAAATAAAAATAAAATAAAATAAACCTTTCCAGTTATTTTTTAATAGTTCATATATGTATACCTACATTTATATTTATAGACATGTAATTATATATACATACACAGATACATATAAACGTGTGTGTATCTATATGTATATGTTGATGGTTTTTTTTTTTAAGTGTGAAGTTGCATTGAAGCAGTGCCTGCAGATATTCTTATATTGTTCATAAGGAAATCTTTCTAATGTTTCACAATATTATGTTTGTTGTGGGATATCAGTTGTACCCTTTAATAATTTAAAGACACTTCCATCTGTTGTCTTATTAAGCATTTTTATTAAAGTGGTTGAATTTTATCAAGTACTTATTCTACATCTCTTGAGATAATCAAAATATACTAAGAGACAATCAAGAGATTATCTTAATTAAATTTTCTCCTTTATCAATATGATGAATTAAATGAATACAGTTTGTAAAATTTAAAGCATCCTTGTATTGTGGGGTAAACTTAGTCATGACATATATTTTTCAAATGCCTGACTGGATTGAGTTTGCTTTTTTTAACATTTGTTTAGACCTTTTGTGTCTTTTCCTAACAAATATTGGCCTGTGGTTTTTTTTCCTGCTGTCCATGAGCCTTGGTGTGTTAGTTTCCCAAGGGTGCAGTAACAAATTACCATTAATATGCTTACAACAACACGGATTCTTTCATAACTATGGATACTAGAGATGTGAAATCAAAGGGTGAACAGGGCCCTGGTCCCTCCTAAGGCTCTAGGGAAGAATCCTTCCTTGCCTCTTCCTAACCTTTGTTGGTTGCTGGTGGTCTCTGGCATTCCTTGGCAAGTAGGTGCATCACTCCAGTTTCTCCCTCCTTCTTCACATGGCCCTCTTCCCTCTGTGTGTCTGTGTCCAAATTTCCCTCTTCCTATAAATTGGGCTGGGTACGGTGGCTCATGCCTGTAATCCCAGCACTCTGGGAGGCCGAGACAGGTGGATCACCTGAGGTCAGGAGTTTGAGACCAGCCTGGTCAACATGGCGAAACCCTGTCTCTACTAAAAATACAAAAATTAGCTGGGTGTGGTGGCAGGTGCCTGTAATTTCAGCTACTCGGGAGGCTGAGGCAGGAGAATTTCTTGAACCTGGGAGATAGAGGTTGCAGTCATGCGACTGCACCCCAGCCTGGGTGACAGCAAGATTCTGTCTCAAAAAGATAAAAATAAAATAAAATAAAAGACATCATTCACTGGCTTTAGGGCCCACCCTAATCTATTATGACCTCATCTTAACTTGATTATATCTACAAAGACTCTATTTTTAAAAAGGTCACATTCTGAGGTTTCTAGTGGACATAAAATTGGGGTAAGAGGAATGCTATTTAACCCAGTACACTTTGTGTCAAGATTTTACTAGCCTTGTAAGTCTTTGGCATCAAGAAATTACGCAAAGATTCATAAATTCCAATGTTAAATCATAAACAACTCTTGGAGATATTATAAAAACCCAGAGTACTACACTGTTTTTTTTTTTAATTCTATCTTGAGAAACATACAGTGAATATGAATAATTCAACTATTTAACTTAGTTTTATGACCTTAAAACCTAACCCAGCACCTTTTACTATCTTATTCAGGTTTCACAACAAATACTTTTATTAATGCTTACTCAGGTTATAGAAGGTTAATATCAAACAGAATAAAGTAAATCCCCTGAGGCAAGTAAACATTCTCTGCCTGTTCTCTCTTTCACTGTAGAATGATGAATGCTCAGCCATCTGCATGTGCTTTATTCTTTGTTACTTCCTTTAGTCTAATTCAGTGGTTCTTTATGTGCATAACAATTCGTATATGGCCTTAGATCTATAAAAGTATGTATTGTACTTTGTAAAAAAAAAACTTTAATTGATTTTCCAGATAAGGTTAGCTGTGTATGAGTGTTGGTTTCCCCTTTTTGCACACTTTAGAACTGTACTCTATGTGAGATGTAACTTTCGTGTGAGTATAAAAGAAAACTTACATACATACCTTTATTCCGGGGCTTTAAACTATCATTCATTCAGTGTTGTGGATAGGTTTTTCTGAAATCTTCAATTATGTAAAGATTTTCCACAGTGGAACTGTGAAGCCATTAACATTATCATGCCTGGCCGGGCGCGATGGCTCAAGCCTGTAATCCCAGCACTTTGGGAGGCTGAGATGGGTAGATCACGAGGTCAGGAGATCGAGACCATCCTGGCCAACACGGTGAAACCCCGTCTCTACTAAAAAATACAAAAAACTAGCCGGGCGAGGTGGTGGGCGCCTGTAGTCCCAGCTACTCGGGAGGCTGAGGCAGGAGAATGGCGTAAACCCGGGAGGCGGAGCTTGCAGTGAGCTGAGATCCGGCCACTGCACTCCAGCCTGGGCGACAGAGCGAGACTCCGTCTCAAAAAAAAAAAAAAAAAAAAAACCATTATCATGCCTATAAGTAAAGAAAACTGTAGAAAGTGAAGCTATGTTAACAGTGAAGTAGTCTTGGTTCAGTGTACTAGATTACTACACAAATATTAAAAGATTTTTATAGGCCGGGCGCAGTGGCTCATGCCTGTAATCCTAGCACTTTGGGAGGCTGAGGTGCATGGAACATAAAGTCAGGAGATCGAGACTATCCTGGCTAACACGGTGAAACCTGTGTCTGCTAAAAAAAATACAAAAAATTAGCCAGGAGTGGTGGCGGGCGCCTGTAGTCCAAGCTACTTGCGAGGCTGAGACAGGAGAATGGCGTGAACTCGGGAGGCGGAGCTTGCGGTGAGCCGAGATCGCGCCTCTGCACTCCAGCCTAGGCAACAGAGTGAGACTCCGTCTCAAAGAAAGAAAAAAAAAAAGATTTTTATAAATAAAAGACCTTCGAGAGTAATAGATTTAGTATCTTTCATTAAGTGTTAAACTATATTTTTTCCTTTATTTTTAGATTTTATTCATCACATTAATGACACAGACACTATACTGAGTACCAATAATAGCAACCCTGGTAAGTAGTTTGGGATGTTGTTTTTTTCTTTACTCTCCACCTTGCTCCAAAAAGGATTTAAGGTAGAACATGTGACCTTATTTTAGGTAAATGATTAGTACAAAATTATTATGTTTACTGAGCTGCTACTAAATTGTTGGTGGTTAGTGTGTTTTTCAAAAAAGAACCTCCAAAAAGGCTGTGTTAATGTAACCAGGCAATAGGTTGTATTAATGTGAGCTAGGCAACATTTAGTTCATATTATACAACTCACAATTTTATCTACAGTATCCATATTTGCCTGTGAATAATCAATATTTTCAAGAACCTATATCACTATTAATTATGTCAGATGTCTAGAAGCGTAGTTCTCAGTTAACTTAGTTTTAGAGATCTGTTGTTTTAGTTATTAATATATAGGCTATACAAATTTGTAACCTGTAAAAGAATTCATTTTCTAGTAATAAACAGAGGTTAGTAACTAAATATGGAAAAACAAATTGAAGCTTCGGCTCCAAAAGAAATTAATTTCTTAGAAATTTTTCTTTATTTTTAAAAAATAAACCATTGTGGCCAATGGGTTTAATCCAATATGACAGTTACAGGGAAAGTGAATATAAACGTTAATATAACTTTGGTAACAGTTATGCTGTTAAACTTGAACATCACCTAAAGCTTTATGTATTTAGATTTCAGGGATACTAAACTGATGTCATATTGATGGAGATGCACATTGATCACTAAGAGGATAATTCATTAAACACATTTATTAAACCTACTATGTGTCAGGAACTATTGTAGGCTCTGGGGATATAATAATGAACAGACAAAAGTCCCTCCTGTCATGAAGTTTACATTCCAGTGTTTGCTACTCATTATCTTACTTTTCCCCCTAATTAAACCTGTCTTTTGTTAATGCTAGAAAATGAGTGAGCAAAGTACTAGCTTTTATTCCTGTGGACACACACACATATACCTTTGAATTATTATACTAAAATCTCTTGTGCCCTATCCCTTACCTCAGAATTTTCAAAGAACCAAATAACGTCCTTGTATTTAAAAAGAAAATTATTTTACTGTACCTATTCTAATATTAATTGATGAAACTAATTTACTAATATCTAAAGTTAATAGTACTTCTCCAGTAGGGAGTCAGTTCATCATTAAGGTAATAAATATTAATATCACAGTCACATTGATGATTTAGAGAACACCATCAGCAAAGTCAGTTTACTTTATATAGTGATATCTTATATCCAGCACTTCTTGATTTCTCTGCTAATGTTTATTTTGAACAGTGTAGTAAATAGTGAGAGTATGAAACAATCCATTTCAGTTAATGTAAAAAATTTTAGCTACTGGGCATAGTGGCTCATGCTTTTAATTTTAACACTTTGAGAGGCCGAGGCAGGAGGATTGCTTGAGCCCAGGACTTTGACATCAGCCTGGGCAACATAGCAAGACACTGTCTCTACAAAAAAAAAAAAAAATTAATTAGCTGGCCATAGTGGCATGTGCCTGCATTCCGAGCTACTCGGGAGGCTGAGGCAGGAGGATCACTTGAGCCTGAGGGGTTGAGGCTACAGTGAGCCATAGTTACGCCACTGCCCTCCAGCCTGAGTGACAGAGTGAGACCCCGTCTCAAAAAAATAAATAAATAAATTACAGCTAACATTTATTGAATGCCTATGTGCAGGCATTACATTAAATGTTTTACGGCAACCCTAAGTGGTAGATACTGTCAACTCCATTTTCCAGGTGAAGAGACCAGGGAACATAGTAGTTAATTTCATCCAAGGACGCCTAAATATTAAGTGGCAGAGTTGGGAATTCATTATTCAGTCAGTTAACTTCCATCCACAGCCTGTGCTCTTTTTTTTTTTTTTAAGATGAGATCTCTCTCTGTTGCCTAGGTTGGCCTATAGTGGCATGATCATAGCTCACTGCAACCTGGTACTCCTGGGTTTCAGCAATCCTCCCACCTCCACCGCCCGAGTAACTGGAACTACAGTTACACATCCCATCCAGCAAAATTTTGTTATTCTTGTAGAGACAGGGTTGCCATGTTTTCTAGGCTAGTCTCAAACTCCTGGCCTCAAGTGATCCTCCTGCCTCAGCCTCCCAAAGTGCTAGGATTAGAGGAATGAGCCACTGCGCCATAGTCTGTGCTTTTAACCACTATAATTAGCACAAGAAAATTTCTGTCCAGAGCATAGAAGAAAAAAAGCACACTAAAATGTTGACTAAGAAGGAGAAAGAAAATTAAATGTTTGGCTTTGTGGCATGCCAAATAATGGATAGACAATAAAATTAAAAATAGAACTGACAATGAATATTCTTTCTCTTTGACAAATGATGAGTATAAGGGTTACTTAAGATGAATATTTTCTATCTGCATTAAGAGTTCTTTACGAAGAACTGATTATTAGCAAAAACTCTATTGTGACATTAGAAACACAATGAGAATGGCTGGTATTCTGTCTGATAACAGAAGAAATTGCCACTTGTAGATCAGTATGTAAGAAACATACATTTAGGCCAGGCACAGTGGCTCAGGCCTATAATCCCAGCACTTTGGGAGGCCGAGGCGGGCAGACCACGAGGTCAAGAGTTGGAGACCAGCTTGGCCAGCATGGTGAAACCCTGTCTCTACTAAAAATACAAAAATTAGCCCGGCATGGTGGCATGCGCCTGTAATCCCAGCTCCTCAAGAGGTAGGAGAATCACTTGACCCCAGGAGGTGGAGGTTGCAGTGAGCCGAGATTGCACCACTGCACTCCAGCCTGAGTGACACAGCGAGACTCTATCTCAAAAAAAAAAAAAACATACATACATTTTACTGATTTCCCAGCCGTCTGGATATCATCTGGACTCTTAGGCTTCTATCAAATGTGATCAACTTCCAGAATCATTTTGGATTGTTGAGATTCAAGATTCTTGCATTTTTATCAGTGATTATACCATGGCAGCTGTTTCAATGATGTTTGCTTTTTATTCCAAACCCATAGATTTTTGTTTGCTGTTAAAAGAAACCTGCTCTTTGACCTTTGTATGGGTTATTAGTGTAATAAACAGTCACCCTAAATGATATTTTTTATATTATTGTGTAAATAAGACCAAACACCATCCAGCCCAGTATTTTCTCTCTGGCAGTGGAACCAAGGGATATTTGGTGGGATATTTTTATAGTTTCTAGTAGAGTTTAAAGATAATATCTCAGGGCTGGGCACGGTAGCTCACGCCTGTAATGCCAGCACTTTGGGAAGCCAAAGTGGGTGGATCACCTGAGGTCAGGAGTTCGAGACCAGCCTGAGCAACGTGGCGAAATGCCCTCTCTACTAAAAATACAAAAATTAGCTGGGCATGCTGATGTGTGCCTGTAGTTACAGCTACTTGAGAGGCTGAGACAAGAGAATCGCTTGAATCCAGGAGGCGGAGGTTGCAGTGAGCCAACATCACGCCACTGTACTCCAGCCTGGGCGACAGAGCGAGACTCTGTCTCAAAAAATAAATAAATAAAAATAAAGATAATATCTCAGAAATTTTAAAGATTCCCTCACTTTTACTTATTTTTAGGTGAAGGAGTACTAATATTCTTAAAATTAACCCTCTATTTTTTCCAGAAAGGAGACATTTAGGCTCCTGGAAAAAGTTGAGGTTGGTAGAGCAAGTATCCGTCTCTAGAGGCAGTCATTTTCTGTTTTTTTGCTTTTTCGTTTTTTGTTTTTTGGGTTTTTTTTTTTGGTCATCTTCTCTAATCTGGTACTTTCCTATTGCAGTGATTTGTCCAAGTGCCGGGAGTGGAGGCCATCCTGACAACAGCTCTATGATTTTCTATGCCAATGACACAGGAGCCCAACAGTTTGAAAAGTGGTGGGATAAGTCCAGGACAGTGCCCTTTTATCTTGTAGGGCTCCTCCTTCCACTGCTCAATTTCAAATCTCCTTCATTTTTTTCAAAATTTAATATCCTAGGTAAGTAGTACCGATGAATTATGGAGACTTTGTGTAATAGAATACATGGTGGAGTCTAGGGAAATATGGTCTGATTGGGGAGTTACCTTCCAAGCCTGTTCATCTGTGTTTAATTTGTTCATTCGTTTTTGTTTTGTTTTTTTCTTTTTCTTTTTCTTTTTTTTTTTTTTTGAGATGGAGTTTCGCTCTTATTGCCCAGGGTGGAGTGCAATGGCCCAGTCTCAGCTCACTGCAACCTCTGCCTCCAGGGTTCAAGCAATTCTTGTGCCTCAGCCTCCCAAGTAGGTGGGATTACAGGTGTGTGCCACCACACCCAGCTAATTTTGTATTTTTAGTAGAGGTGGGGTTTCATCATGTTCTCCAGGCTGGTCTTGAACCCCTGACCTTAGGTGATTGACCTGCCTCGGCCTCCCAAAGTGCTGGGATTACAGGTGTGAGCTACCGTGCCTGGCAAGTTGTTCATTCTTATGATAACCTGATTTTTTCTATTTTTTTATGGAGTTTGGCATGGAGAAAAGTGTAGATGACCAGTTTTGGTTTGGTTGTAGTTTTTTTTTTTTTTTTTGAGACACGAATTATTTGGTTTCTCATTCTAAACTTACTGAACAATTCTTCCTCATTTCCTCTGAGGATACAACTAGATGAAATAGATGAAAATTTCAGGAGGAGAGATCCAAATTGGATCTTACAGGAATTCTCAATTCTAACGGTTGGAAACAGAACTTACTAAGGAAGGTTATAGAATGTTTTTTCCTACAGTCTCTAAGAGTATTATGCAGGATTGTCACCTGACTTTGAACCTGGGAAATCATTCTCTATGTCAGGCTTCTTAGGTTTATTCTGCTTTTGCTCTCTTCCTCAGTGCTTTTTTTTTTTTCTTAGAACACTATTGCCTTCTTTAAGGAATAGACCTCTTTCTGTGAGCCCTGCTTTTCAAAAACCACTAAACGAATGTTTTTACTCCACTTAAAATGGCAAAAGCGGCCAGATGCGGTGGCTCACACCTGTAATCCCAACACTTTGGGAGGTCAGGGCAGGTGGATCACAAGGTCAGGAGTTCAAGACCAGCTTGGCCAAGATGGTGAAACCCCGTCTCTATTAAAAATACAAAAATTAGTCGGGCGTGGTGGCAGGCGCCTGTAATCCCAGCTACTTGGAAGGCTAAGGCAGAGAATTGCTTGAACCCAGGAGGTGGAGGTTGCAGTGAGCTGAGATCACACCACTGTACTCCAGCCTGGGTGACAAAACGAGACTGTGTCTCAAAAAAAAAAAAAAAAAAAAAAAGATGGCAAAAGGAACCTCCCAGTGAAAGTTCAGATCTGGCTAACTAAAGACAAGGATATCATTCATAAGGAATTGATAACTCCACATAAACCATACAATTTCACCTCCTCCCTGTGGATGTGATCTTTGGCAGGCAATCTAGAGCATAAAATAAATAGATAGGCCAGGTGCGGTGGCTCACACCTGTAATCCTAGCACTTTGGGAAGCTGAGGCAGGCGGATAACCTGAGGTCAGGAGTTCGAGATCAACCTGACCAACATGGAGAAACCTTGTCTCTACTAAAAATACAAACTTAGCCAGGCGTGGTGGCGCATGTCTGTAATCCCAGCTACTCGGGAGGCTGAGGCAGGAGAATTGCTTAAACCCAGGAGGCGGAGGTTGCAGTGAGCCGAGATCATGCCATTAGGCAACAAGAGTGAAAACTCTGTCTCAATAAGTAAATAAATAAATAACCCATCATATCAAGGAACAAGGCAGTGGCTTCTAGGTTTCCAGAAGACCAAAGGAAAAGTTAAAATTATTTCTCTTTGCCTGTCTGCCTCAGGTACAGAATTCACTGTAAGCTGCCATAGACACACAGAAGATGGAGAGTTGTGGTTATATAAGCTCTGGCGTCTTGTTTTCATCCTTTATGAATCAGCTAATCTCCAAACCCACAGTACTGCTTATATCACTCATTTGTGGTTTCCTGATTTGCTTGCCAACTTTTCTATGAAACAGATCTTTTAAAATAATATAAACTTATAGAAGGATTTGCTCAACTGGGCACAACAATCACCAGACTTCCAACCAGGTTGATTGTTGATTCTCCAGCTCCTTAAGGATATTCTGCTTTTGTTCTTTTCGTTGGTAGTTTCCCTTTCTCTTAAAACCATAGCTTCATTAGAGGAATTAGCATCTAAGGCCTTCCTGAGTTTTCTGACTCTACTCCATAATGACTAGACTTAATTTCTTAAAAGGAATAATCTTCTGCCTTCTACACTACTAAAAAATTCTGAATGCCCATTTTACCCTGTATATAATACCTGAGAATGGAGTCTGGAATCTCCGTCTAGCAAGCAGTGCTACCCAGTCAAAACCTCATCTAGATACTAGATCAAGATTGTTCATGTATTTTGGCTTCTCACCTTTCTCAAATATGCTTTTGATCCACGTTCACTGCTTTTTTTTCTTTACCTTCTTACCATCTCACATTAAATACTGTGACAGACTGTCTCTAACACTTCCAATTCAAAGAATAAAAGTTAGTTTTATCCTGTGTAATCCTACAATTTTATAGTGGACTCTCTGCTTGTATCTTCTGCTTAAACTCAACTCATAAGTAAATGAAGCAGTTTTGCATTCAGCAATGTATGAGCTACCTTCATCTGATTCTTCTTTTCTTATTCTTTTTTTTTTTTTTCCTTTGAGATGGAGTCTCGCTCTGTCGCCCAGGCTGGAGTGCAGTGGTGCAATCTTGGCTCACTGCAACCTCTGCTTCTCGAGTTCAAGTGATTCTCCTGTCTCAGCCTTCCGAGTAGTTGGGATTATAGGCATGTGCCATCACACCTGGCTAACTTTTGTATTTTTAGTAGAGATGAAGTTTCGCCATGTTGGCCAGGCTGGTCTCGAACTCCTGACCTCAGGTGATCTGCCCACCTCGGCCTCCCAAAGTGCTGGGATTACGGATGTGAGCCACCACACCCAACCCGTCTGGTTCTTGTTAGGCCTACTACATAGAGTTTTTTTGTTCTTTTTCTGGTAACTCCCTCAGCTTGTTTCTAGTCTTTAGATCCCAGCTGGGTGTTAGTGGAGATAATCAATGCAGGTAACAGTTTCCCACACTTTGCTGAGACTATGAAAACAATGCTTGATTTTAAAATAATCTGTAAAACACACAAAGATAATAAATGGTTTCTGAATTTTTTCCTCACAGGCACAGTATCTGTCCTTTATTTGATTTTCCTTGTCACCTTTAAGGCTGTTCGCTTGGGATTTCATTTGGAATTTCATTGGTTTATACCAACAGAATTTTTTGTACCAGGTGAGCTGTTTTGGCAAAATAATAAATTACAATAATGTGATCTTAAGTTAACCATTGTTATGCTATTCTAAAACAAGTAATGATCTTTTTTATGCTGGGCATTTTTATAAATGCTATTAAGTTAAAAATAGTACTACAATTGAGATTATTTTGAGTTTCCTGCAGTTAGTGGTAACCAGGGCCCTTTGTCATTTCTACTTGTTAGTTGAAGTTCATTTAAGTTATAGTGCACTAATACTTGCACTTTCTGTGTTTTTCATCCAGCCTTTCTGATGGGTATATAATGTGGTATTACATTGTGGTTTTGTGTTTTTTAATTAAAAATTTTTATTGACATAAAATAGTTGTACATATTTAGGGGGATACATAGGATATTTTAATACCTCTATGCAGTGTGTAGTGTTCAAATCAGGGTAATTGGGATATCCATCACCTCAAACATTTATCTTTTTGTTGGGAACATACAATGTGGTTTTAATTTGCATTTCTGTAATGATCAGTGGAGTTAGCAACTTTTCATATGTTTGTTGGCCATTTGGATTTCATCTTTTCTGAAGTGTTTCTTCTATCTTTCTATTTAACTGTCTGTTTTTTTATATTGATTTATAGGATTTATTTATACATTCCAAATATGAATCCTTTCTCAGATATGTGTAATGCAATTATCTTCTTCCTGCTTACATCCTTTCTTGATATGCCTTTTCAAAGGAATAAAGTAAGCAGCAGAAGTTTGGAGCTTCTTTAAAACCATTTTGTGAAGGAGTCTATTATTTAATGTATTATGTAATAATCATGGCATAAATGTGTTCTTTAAAAAAGTATATTTTCCACACAAAAACTTGTACATGCATGTTTATAGCAGCATTATTCATAATAGCCAAAAGTGGAAACGGCCCAGTGTCTATCACTAATGAATGGATAAATAAAATGTAGTATATCTTTCTTTTTTCTTTTGAGACAGAGTCTCACTCTGTTGCCCAAGCTTGAGTGTAGTGGCGCAATCTCAACTCACTGCAACTTCCCCCTCCCGGTTCAAGTGATTCTCCTGCCTCAGCCTCCTGAGTAGCTGGGATTACAGGCGTGCACCACCATGCCCAGCTAATTTTGTATTTTTAGTAGAGGCAGGGTTTCACCATGTTGGCCAGGCTGACCTCAGGTGATCTGCCTGCCTCAGCCTCCCAAAGTGCTGGGATTACAGTCGTGAGCCACCGCGCCTGGCCAAAATGTGGTATATCTGTACAATGGGATATTATTTGGCAATAGAAAAGGAATGAAGTGCTGTGGTTATGGTTGTACAACTCTGTGAATATACTGTTCAATTAAAAACTAGTTGTGCACTTTAAGTGGGTGAAACATGAATTTTATTTCAATAGTGCTGTTAAAAAGAGTCTCAGGTTTTCAAGAAATTTTCTCAAAAAGATAGCTTTTGGTAGTTAATGGGAAAAAGCTGACTATTTACCCACTGTAATATGACAAGTTAGAAACCTAACAGTGGTCTTACTTGCCTTAATTAGAAAAGATAGAAAAGGATGAAATAACAAATTGCTTTACAGGGTATCTTAACTAAGTAATAGAATTGATTACTCTGAGAGACAGGAAATTCAGCTAAATTAAAAAGAATGTGTTGAAAACTAATCTTATTTTATTTCGATTTATTTATTTTATTTTAGAGCTAGTGCTTGATTCTTGTTTTCTCTTCTTTTTCTAAAATAATATAGCAGAATCAGTGGATTTTTTATACATTTCTACTTTTTACACTAAGGAATCCCCTGAGATGGGTTTGCCTAGACCAGCAGTATTTTCAATTAAATCATGGTTTTATTCTACATAAAATCAATTTTTTTCCTTCTATTAGCAGTCCTCAATACAGAAATTGGCAGTGCTTTTGCAGTGTTCTTTTATTCTCACTTTAAAGTAGCTTTGTGTGGCCGGGCGCGGTGGCTCAAGCCTGTAATCCCAGCACTTTGGGAGGCCGAGGCGGGCGGATCACAAGGTCAGGAGATCGAGACCACAGTGAAACCCCGTCTCTACTAAAAATACAAAAAATTAGCCGGGCGTGGTGGCGGGCGCCTGTAGTCCTAGCTACTCAGGAGGCTGAGGCAGGAGAATGGCGTGAACCCAGGAGGCGGAGCTTGCAGTGAGCCGAGATCGCGCCACTGCACTCCAGCCTGGGCAACAGCGTGAGACTCCGTCTCAAAATAAATAAATAAAATAAAATAAAATAAAATAAAGTAGCTTTGTGTTTATTGCAGAACATTTAGAGATTATAGGTAAGTGGTTAATTTAAAATAAATTGCATAACTTGATGTAACCACTATTTATATTTTTGTGGATACTCCCCCCCTCCCCCAGTCTTTTTTCTTTGCATGCACACATCTATACACACACATATATTTTAGAAGTAAAAGTAGGCTGGGCACAGTGGCTCATGCCTGTAATCCCAGCACTTTGGGAGGTTGTGGTGGGAGTTTTACTTGAGCCCAGCAGTTCAAGACCAGCCTGGACAACATGGCGAGACCCTGTCTCTACAAAAAAAAAAAAAAAAAAAAATTCTTTTAAACTTAGCTGGCTGTGGTGGCATGCACCTATAATCCTAGCTGCCAGGGAAGCTGAGACAGGAAGATCACTTGAGCCCAGAAAGTTGGGGCTGTCGTCAGCCGTGTTTGTGCCACTGCATTCCAGCCTGGGTAACAGAGTGAGAACCTATCTCAAAAAGAATAAAACAATAAAAAGTAAAATCACAGTATGTATGCTATTTCAATCATAGGGAAAAAAAGAAACTGCCTCTACAACATAATTTTTGATACTGTATACCACTGCACAACTGTATCTCAATTTAATGAATCCCCTGTAGGTGGACATTTATTTCTATTATTTTTAAATAATGTTTTTTAGATTTGTCAGTGAAGAATGTTAAATGACCAGTTTGCCCTTTCATAATTCCTTTTCTAGAGGTAATTTTCTGGCAAATTCAGGTGTTAAAAAAATGAAGGACTTTAAAGTCAGACAGAGCCTAAATTTGAATCCTGCCCTTCCCCATACCAATTGTATGACCTCAAATAGGAATAATTGATACAAAGCGCCTGCACAGAGTATACTTTTTTTTTTTTGAGATGGAGTTTTGCTCTTTCACCCAGGCCGCAATGCAATGGCGCGATCTCGGCTTACTACAGCCTCTGCCTCCCAGGTTCAAGCGATTCCCCTGCCTCAGCCTCCCAAGTAGCTGAGATTACAGGCTGCTGCCACCACGCTCAGCTAATTTTTGTATTTTTACTAGAGACAAGGTTTCACCATGTTGGCCAGGCTGGTCTCAAACTCCTTACCTCAGGTGATCCGCCCACCTTGGCCTCCCAAAGTGTTGGGATTACAGGTGTGAGCCACCACACCCAGCCAGAGCATACTTTTTTTTCCCCCTTTTGAGTGCTTTGCCCAAGTATAATGCTGGCCTTGAGGAACTTTTTAAAGACATTTTAATATTCTCATTCCCTGGATAAAACAGTGACAACTGATTTTTAGTAATCAACTGTTGGCTACCACTACTCATTTTCTAACTGTCAGTTTTAATGTTTTTGTTTTTATTTTTCTCCTAGAGATAAGATTTCAGTTTCCACAGCTGACTGGAGTGCTTACCCTTGCTTTTTTTATTCATAATTGTATCATCACACTCTTGAAGAACAACAAGAAACAAGAAAACAATGTGAGTAATTATCTTTGGAATTGACTTTTGTATCTCCTGAGAATAAACTTTTTAAGTCAGTATTTGAGCCACTTTATATTTGGGGTACAATTAGGCAATTTTGTCACAAGATCTTAATTTTTAAACTTAAACCATAGAGCAGTGGTCAGCAAATTTTTCTATAAAGGTTCAGATGATAAATATTTCAGGCCTTGTAGGCCATATGGTTTTTGTTCCAGCTACCCAACTCTGCTGTTATGTTATGAAAGCAGCCATAGATAATACATAAACAAATGGGTGATGGCATTGTTTCAATGAAACTGTTCACAAAAATAGACATCAGACAAGATTTGGCCCGTGAGTCATAGTTCGCCGGTGCCTGCCATAGAGTAACCACTGAAAAAATAGAGGTATAGCTAATAAGCCATTAATGGTGGTAAAATCTTTTAAAGATACCCTAGCTATGGTGACTCAGGCCTGTAATACCAGCACTTTGGGAGTCTGAGGCAGGAAGATCACTTGAGCCCAGGAATTTGAGACCAGCCTGGGCAACATGGTTAGACCCTGTCTCTACAGAAAAAATTAGCCCAGTTTGGTAGCACATGCCTATAGTCCCAGCTACTTGGGAGGCTGAGGCAGCAGGATTGCTTAAGCCCAGGAAGCCAAGTCTGTGGTGAACTGTGTTCATGCCACAGCACTCTAGTCTGGTCAACAGAGTGAAACCTCATCTTAAAAAAAAAAAAAAAATGCAGCTGGGCACAGTGGCTCACGCCTGTAATCCCAGCACTTCAGGAGGCCAAGGCAGGTGGATCCCGAGGTCAAGAGTTCAAGACCAGCCTGGCCAAGACGGTGAAACCCCATCTCTACTAAAAATACAAAAATTAGTCGGGCGTGGTGGTAGACACCTATAATCCCAGCAACTCAGGAAGCTGGGACAGAGAATTGCTTGAACCTGGGAGATGGAGGTTGCAGTGAGCCAAGATCGCCACTGCACTTCAGCCTAGGCAACAGATCCAGACTCCATCTCAAAAAAACAAACAAAATATACCTGATCCAAAAGAAGCCATGGAAAAGGAACCAAAGAATAGATGTGACAAATAGAAAACAAATAGCAACATAGTAAGTTTAAACCCGTTGTGTTGATAATTACATTTAAAGACACTGCAATTAAAAGATTAAAAGAGGTTGGGTACAGCGGCTCACACCTGTAATCCCACCACTTTGAGAGGCTGAGGCAGGCGGATAACTTAAGGCCCGGTGTTTGAGACCAGCCTGGCCAACATGGTGAAACCCTGTCTCTAATAAAAATACAAAAATTAGCCAGGCATGGTGGTGTGCACCTGTCATCCCAGCTACTCAGGAGGCTGAGGCGGGAAATCGCTTGAACCCAAGGGGTGGAAGTTGCAGTGAGCGGAGATCATGCCACTGCACTCCAGCCTGGGCAACAGAGCGAGACTCTATCTCAAATAAATAACTTAATTAATTAAAAGAGATTTTCAGACTTGTTAAAACACAAAGCCTAACTATATGTTGTCTACAAGGAATTTATATTAAACATAAAGATATGCCATGCAAATATTAAACATAAGAAAGCTGGAGTGGCCAAATTAATATCAGACAAAATAGACTTTAGAACTGGGAGTATTGCCAGAGATAAAGAGGAACCTTACATAATGATCTGTAGGGATCAATTCATCAAGAAGACATAATAATCCTAAATGTATATGCACCCAGTGACAGAGCTTCAAAATAAATGAGTTAACAGTTGCCAAACTGAAAAGAGAAGTAGACAAATCCACAATTGTAATTGGACATTTTATCACCCTCCTTCAAGTAACTGATAGAACAAATAGATGAAAATAAGTAAGGATAGATGAAGCATGAAAAACACTGTCAACCTACTTAATCTAATATGTATTTACAAAAAGTCTTCTCTCAACTGCGGAATGCACATTCTTCTTAAATACATAAGAACATTTTCCAAGATAGACTATATGCTGGGTCATAAAACAATTCTCAATATGTGTGAAAGGATTTAAGTCATACAGAGTATGTTCTCTAACCATAATGAAGATACAAATCAATAACAGAAAGAAATTTGGGAAATTCACAAATTGTGGAAATTGAACAGCATGCTCTTAAATAACCAATGGGTCAAAGAAGAAATCACAAGAAAAATCAGAAATACTTTGAGTTTACTTAAAGCGTGCTTATAGGGAAATGTATAGCTGTAAACACCTACACTAAAAATGAAGATCTCAAAAACCTAACTTTCTACCTTAGACAATAGAAAAAGTAAAGCAAACTAAACCCAAGGCAAACAGAAGTTAACCAGTTACTTGTTGGCTTGTCTGCAGATTTTGTGGTCAATTTAACAGCTTCTGACCTTGTAAACAAAAGTCATAATGAAGTTCTGATAGAGGTCTATACAGTTGTTACTGAAATGCAGGAGAAGGAAGGATTTGCTGTGCCTGGAGATTCTGAGAAGGCTTTGAGTAAGGGGTAATGTTTGGCAGTCATTAAGAAGGCAAAAACCTTTCTAAGTAGAGGAAGTAAGCTCTCTAAAGCAAAAATATAAATTTAGCTTTTCCATCTTCATCTTTACTGACCATACATGTAGCATGTTACCTGTAAATGGAGTTGGACTTGAGTCAATCTGGATTTTTCATACTTCCTATTTGGTGAACTTACCTCAAATTTCATTTTTGTCATATGTAAAATGATAGCTACCTATCAGGGTTGTGATGTTAACATGATCTAACATAAAACAGAGGCTGGAAATTTTTAGTATTTTTACCCCTCTTACCCTTTCTTTCCTGATATTTACAGTCTGTTCTTGTAAGCCAAGTTAGCCCAAGTGCCCTAGAAACTCATGTTGTTAAGTAGAATTCTCATATATTGGATGATCCTATCCATAAGGCTGTGTTTCTCAAACTTTACCACCAAAGTCTCCCTAATAACAGAACAACCTCGTGTACCTAGAAATCTGGGGAAGACAAACACAATCTTACTGAAGTGTCATGTTTTATCTTAAACATTTACACATATTTTTATCATGCTCATTATTTGTTTGTCTTACTAGAAAACAGTCTCAGGCTGGGCACGGTGACTCATGCCTGTAATCCCAGCACCTTGGGAGGCCAAGGCAGGCGGATCACAAGGTCAGGAGATTGAGACCATCCTGGCTAACACAGTGAAACCCCATCTCTACTAAAAATACAAAAAATGAGCCGGGTGTGGTGGCACGTGCCTGTAGTACCCACTGCTCGGGAGGCTGAGGCAGGAGAATCGCTTGAACCCGGGAGGTGGAGGTTGTGGTGAGCCGAGATCGCGTCACTGCACTCCAGCCTGGGCGACAGAGTGAGACTCCACCTCAAAAAAGAAAAGGGAAAGAGGAGGGGCTCAAAATGAGTTAAATTACAGGCAGTTCTCATGTTGCATGGTTCTTACATGCACCAGTTTCATTAATCTGGTTTAGTTAAAATACATCAGTTCCTCCTAACAACATTTGTTCAAACGTCAGTTACCACAGAATTTTATTTTTTTTTCAGCCTTTTCTTGCTTTTTATTTACAGTTTGTGTTCAATGCAAATCAATTCCATAACATAAGAAGTTACTATGAATCAAAGCATAAATACACAAACACAATATACAGTCCAAAATAGATGTACAGCATTCTGGAATAAAGCAAAAGAGTATTCATTCACACACACAGTAGCTTCAGATGTGTTTAATCTGTTTGTTCCCATGTAATTTTCTAAAGATGGAAAAAAATGACTTTGGTCATCGAGACCACTGTGGCCATATTAGATTCCTGGAACATCTAAGCATCAGGGTGTGACCATGCGAACAAAAGACTTCGGCAAGTGTCTATTTTTAAAAAGGTTTCTGTGTGTCGAGGCAGTTGTGAAAGATTTACTGCAGAATCAAGCCCACTTTTAGGCTTAGGACCAGGTTCTAACTATCTAAAAATATTGACTGATAACAAAAAGTGTTCCAAATGTGGCTATTCTGATCCAAAATTGTTTTTTAAAGAAAAAAAAAAAAGTATATACAGAAAGAGTATAAAAGTTTTTGTGAATTTAATGCAAATTAGCTTCCAGTCTTCACTTCCCAAATACTTGATTTATAGTTTTGATTCCTTTACATCTTTGCCTTTTTAATTTCAAGATTTGCAGTTTTGCCTTCAAAACAGATCTTTTTTTTTAATTGTAAAAAGTATTCAACATATACAGAAATAAGCATTTTGACGGCTGGGCACGGAGGCTCAAGCCTATAATCCCAGCACTTTGAGAGGCCGAGGCAGGCGGATCACCTGAGGTCAGGAGTTCGAAACCAGCCTGGGCAACATGGTGAAACCCTGTCTCTAGTAAAATTACAAAAATTAGCCAGGCATGGTGGCAGGTGCCTGTAATCCCAGCTACTTGGGAGGCTGAGGCAGGAGAAACGCTTGAGCCCGGAAGGCAGAGGGTTGCACTGAGCTGAGATTGCGCCACTGCACTCCAGCCTGGGTGACAAAGTGGGACTCCATCTAAAAAATAATAATAAAAAAAAAAGTATTTTGAAATTAGTCACGGTCAATGCAGTTCTACTCTTTGGAATCTGTTTAGCTAAATGAATGTAGCACTCTTGTTGAATGGAAATAGGTGATAGGAAATGCCTACCATTTGACTCTTTATGGATAATCAAGAGTTGCTCAGAATGCTTGGACCTGGGGGTAGATTCTCATTCATCATTGCCCTGGCACATGTCAATTACTACGTAAAAGGTCAAATGCAATGTCAAATCCAAAGCCTCAAGAGGAAAGTAAGTTCAGTTCCCAAGAGAACAGCGATAGCTCAACAATGTAAAACTTCATCTAGAGTATATCGGCATTAAATTAGTGCTGTCGAAACAATACATTGAGGAATTACAGTAACACCTGGAAATTCCTTCTAATGTACATATAAATAGAATCATGGAAGCTTTTTATATTACCTGTTTTATGGCCTTATAGAATTAATGAACCAAATGAAAACTGAATCTCCATTCCACAATCACATCCTTTATTACTATTCTTATTTTCTTTTTTTTTTTTTTTTTGAGACGGAGTCTCACTGTGCTCCCAGGCTGGAGTGCAGTAGCGTGATCTCGGCTCACTGCAAGCTCCGCCTCCCGGGTTCACGCCATTCTCCCGCCTCAGCCTCCCAAGTAGCTGAGACTACAGGCGCCCGCCACCACGCCCGGCTAGTTTTTTGTATTTTTAGTAGAGACAGGGTTTCACCATGTTAGCCAGGATGGTCTCGATCTCCTGACCTCGTGATCCACCCGCCTCGGCCTCCCAAAGTGCTGGGATTACAGGCTTGAGCCACCGCGCCCGGCCACTATTCTTATTTTCAAGGTAGTATTTCTTAGGCCACATTCAAGGAAATCATGTCTTAGCTATTTTGGATGTTGCCTTTCCTTCATCTTATACATGAAACACCAGCAAATTTAATATTGTCATCCATCATCTAGTTCTTCAAACTAGATGTTCTTCAAACTGATCAAATTGGGATCCTCACATGTTCTTCAAACCGATCAAATTTGGGATTCTCAACATTTTATATCAATAAAAGGTGTGGAATTAGTAGATTCGAAGAAGACCTGTTTTTCCTTGCCAAATCGGACTTCCAAACGCCATTTGGATTGGGTTTAGAAGATGGGGAAGTTTAGAAGATGTTTCTTGACCTGAGTCTCTTAACAGTAGAGATGTAGAAGAGAGAGTGAGACCACGAAGAGACTGGCTGTTGACTGCAGGGCACCACCAACCGCCTTGGTGGTGGCATTAGCTGGATTTGGGGCAGTCGAAGTATTCTGGGAGGAGCTACTTGAAACTGTTACAACAGTTGTTTCATTGGAATAAATCTGCATGGGTAGGAGCAGTGCCAGCAGCAGCAGCCCCAGCCGAGCCTGGCCACCATTGCTCTGCCCGTGTCCCCTCCATCGGTGCGCTGCGCGTCTCGCTGGATGCTGGGTGCTTGAAGAACCGCTGGCTCCGGTCGGGCACAGGCAAGGTCAGAATTTTAACTATTAGTACTTGTAAAGTAGTAGCTGCTGGCCCTCACTTCACAAAGCACTGCATAAATAAAAAGTGCATGTGATAATTAGTAACCAATCACATAACTTCTTTCAAAGTCTGTCAATGACTGGTCACTGTGTATGGTTTTCACTGTACAGTCTGCAAAGCAGATAGTTGTGTTAACTCCTTGTCTCCCGGTGATAAACTGATATATTTTACAAAAAATGGATACTTGAACAAGGAATTGTCAAACAAAGTGAAAGTGTTACAATGAAACAAAACAATAATGCAAGAAGTGAAATTTGAATTCAACTCTATATAAAGAGTTATAAAAGAAATAGCCAACTGTGGAAATGTTGACACTGCTGCTATACAAGATACTCCAGATATGCAGCCAGAGAAACTTAAGGAAGGTGAGCTTATCAACATGCATTTGGAAAGTGGTTATGATTACAAGAATGAACATATCCCAGAGGAAGTGCAGTTGTCAGAAAACTTCACATTAATTGAATTCTCAGAGATGTCTCACAACATTGAAAGCACAAAAGATGAAATGTTAGAAGCTGGTGCACAGTTGGGATAAAGGAGTATGACGGTTCACCAAGGCATGGAAAAGATGTCTGCTACATTTTGTTAAGTTATACAATGAGAAGAAGGAGGCAAACGTAGTTCAGACTACTCTTGGTATGTTTTTACAAAACAAAATATTTTAAGCTCAATATTTCTGACATTGCAATGTACTTTTACAAATGTTTTACTTTTCCTTACACATTTATAACAGAATATTTAATGTTTTGACAATTGTTAAAGATCATAGAACAATTGCATGTTTTTCCCATTGATTATTGTGATCACTTTGCAGTTTCAGGTTGCATAGTAATTTTTATAATCTCATACCACCCTGCAAAGTGAGGACTGTCTGTGCTTAACTTTTCACTCGCCAGAATTCTCAAGTTGAATTGCTTTTCTGGAAAGTCACACCAGTTTATCTGGAGGTGTATATGCCCCACTGTGAGAAGCTCAGGGCTGGATTGAGATGGGCGTTCTTGGTTCATGGTCTCCCAAGGACTGAGGACATGTCTTTGCCTTTCTTAGTAGAACACTCAGTGGGCCTTGAAATCCGTATTTCATATGTAAATACCATAAAATGAATTCTTTCCACTTAGTATTAGGATGAGGACTTTGTAGAACTATTATGTTAGGTTCAGCTAATACAATTTGATTCACCTTTTGTCACTTGTGGAAACTATTTTTAAAACAAAGGCTTAAAAGCAAAGGTTTAAATGGCTGGGCGTGGTGACTCACGCCTGTAATTCCAGCACTTTGGGAGGCTGAGGCAGTTGGATCAGCTGAGGTCAGGAGTTCGAGACCAGCCTGGCCAACATGGCAAAACCCCGTCTCTACTAAAAATACAAAAATTAGCCAAGCATGGTAGTGGGCCTCTGCAATTCCAGCTACTTGGGAGGCTGAGACAGGAGAATCACTTGAACCCGGCAGGCAGAGGTTGCAGTGAGCTCAGATCATGCCACTGCCCTCCAGCCTGGGCAACAGAGCGAGACGCCATCTCAAAAAAAAAAAAAAAAAAACACACACACACACACACACAAAGGTTTAAATGGTTGTTTTGTTTTTTTTTTTTTTAAACTGTCTTAATTGAAATTGGGTTATGAAGTGATGGTCTACCTTTCAAAAAACTAGTTGTACTTTATGTTAACTTCTTAAAAATATTAATAATTGCTAAGGATAAAGCTAACATTTATGAAGCACTATGTGCCAGCAACATTCTAAACACTTTGACTATATGTAAATATATATACTGTCTTTTTGATTATACTGAAATTGGCTTATATGTTAGCAAAAATCTAGCTAAATGGGTACTATATTCTGAAAAAAACTTTGTCATTTGATTTATTTAATGATTATACCTTTCAGCAGGTTTCAGTAAGTAATTTGATTTTTTTTTTTTTTTTTTTTTTTTTTTTTTTTTGAGATGGAATCTCGCTCTGTGGCCCAGGCTGGAGTGCAGTGGCCGGATCTCAGCTCACTGCAAGCTCCACCTTTCAGGTTCACGCCATTCTCCTGCCTCAGCCTCCCGAGTAGCTGGGACTACAGGCGCCGCCACCTCGCCCTGCTAGTTTTTTTTTTGTATTTTTTAGTAGAGACGGGGTATCACCATGTTAGCCAGGATGGTTTCGATCTCCTGACCTTGTGATCCGCCCGTCTCAGCCTCCCAAAGTGCTGGGATTACAGGCTTGAGCCACCACGCCCAGCCTCAGTAAGTAATTTGAAAGAAGTCCTGTTAATATCATGGCATAATATTTTCTTGAGATTAAAGTCAAAAAATGTAAAGCTTGCCAGGGACTCTGAATTCATAATGTGGATACTGGATCATTCCAAGCTCAGTAAACAAAAGTTTGAAAATAGAAAAGAAGACAAAAGAATAGAAAAGGCCTCGTCTTCTATATAAATTATAACTGGACTTGGAACTAAAGATATTTGCAAAGAAAGAAACAAACTCCCAAATAGGTGTAGTGATCAAATTTTCTAGGTTTTCCAAGTTCAACTTCATTTCATACAGTTTTTTTTTTCCATCAAATGTAATTTGTTATATGTGTAAATGGGATATCATTTCTATTCCTTTTTTTTTTTTTTTTTGAGACGGAGTTTCGTTCTTGTTGCCCAGGCTGGAGTGCAGTGGCACAATCTTGGCTCACTGCAACCTCTGCCTCCCCGGTTCAAGCAATTCTCTTGCCTCAGCCTCCCAAGTAGCTGGGATAACAGGCATGCACCACTACGTCTGGCTAATTTTGTATTTTTAGTAGAAATGGGGTTTTTCCATGTTGGTCAGGCTGGTCTTGAATTCCTGACCTCAGGTGATCCACCCGCCTCGGCCTCCCAAACTGCTGGGATTACAGGCGTGAGCCACCCCACCCGGCCATCGTTCCTATTCTTTTGTCATATCTTGCCAAAAAAGGGGGATTAGGGAGCTGAAGACCATCCAACTAGTTTATCACCAGAATATGTAGTTCCTATAACCCTCCTGGTTGTGTGGATTGACCTCTTGATATTTTCTCATTGTATTTGAATCAGAACCTCTAAGTGTTTCTTTTGTTTAGTTTTGTTTTGTCTGTGTTTAGTTGTATTACCCTGCTTTGTTCTTTAAAACAATTTGAAATGCCTTATATCATGATTTGTTATTTACTTTTTCCTTCTTCATATGAATCTGTGGTTTACTTGGCTATATACCAGGAGAAGTTATGTAAATGTTTGGGGTCAGTCTGTGTGGTCAGTTTCTGTCATTTTTGTTAGTAAATGCTCCACTGGATAGTATTTTCACTATGAACGGTATGTGAAACAAATAATAAACCATGTCTGACAAATAGAATGTGCTCCCAAACCCACTTCTGGGCCTGTTGTAGATCCAGTTTTCATTCTGACTTGGCATTCTACCTGTCGTTAGTTTTCTACCGTCAACCCTGCCAGCCATTTATTATTCACAAGGCAGAATCGGTTACCTTATTAATGTATAGGCTTCTTGACATAATTACCAGTTTATATTGTCACTTGTGTCTCTTTTTAAATATATTTTTTACTTTGAGCCTCATTTTCTAAAGAATAGCTTTTTTTCTATGCTGTTCCATTAAATGGGCTTTCAAGAGGCTGTATCTTTAGGCCGAACTATATCTTTAGTAATGGCTTGTGTTTGAGCCAGAGAATAGCAAAGCCCACATATGTGTATACTGTTCCTAAGTGGCATATTTCCCAGCGTCATGCTAAACCTCAGCTGCTTTTATAATAAAAGCATCATTTCTGTTCATCGGAGTATTCAGATGAAAACACGTATGTAGCTCCTGAGCTACTTTTACTGAAGGTATGTTGGAGTACTATGAAATAGAACTTTCCTGATTTTAGTGTCTCAAAATGGAAGCATCCCTGTATGTGTTCTGTTGTATAGTTATTACTCATAACTTGTTACCTCTCTTTTTTTATTATTATTGTTTATTAACTGTGACACAACTGCATTGGAGACTGGTCAGCTCTCCATCATAGTAGCTGAGGACCTGCAGTTTGGAACTAAAAGGATCTTGATTTGAATATTGGTTTCACCAGATACCCACTTTGCAGCCGCAAACGAGTTTTGTAACCTTGCTGCACTTAGTTTACATCTGTAAAATGAAGAAAATGACAGTATCTACATTATAAGGTTGCAATGAGGATTAAATGAGATGACACTTGTAATGTGCTTAGCAATAGAGCCTGGCACCTACAAGCAGTTAATAAAACCAATGTGGCTATTATTCTTTATCTACATTTACCACATTCCTCCTATGTACTAGGTGTGGTCCTGGGTATTGGGGATACAAAGAAGAAAAAGACATGGTCCCTGTCCTCAGAATCCCAGAGTCTTGTGGTACAGACACATTTAGAGAAAAATTAAAATACCAACATGATACAAGAACTATTAACCTTGGCTATTTTAGGGATGTCAAGGGACGTATTTTATCTCCACTTGAAATTCTTTATATCATGCACATGGATTACTTTTATAATAAAAATTAATGACTGTCACAATACTGTCATTGCTGTATTTGAGATATGTATATAGTGCCGTAAGAACAGAGAAGCAGAGGGGAAAAGTCTTATTGGAAGCTCTGCACCATAGCCTTTGCATCTTAATCAGATTTCCCCTGAAGTGTGTTATGGTACACTTCTTTGCAAGAAGTCAGACCAAAATAACGCGGTGATCAGGTAGTAGATAAGCTGAAAACTGTCTATGGAATGGTGGCTGTCCTACTTTACGGAGAGCTGTCTCAAGCCCAGCTGCTTTGCCTCCCAAGATTTTTTTACAAGGCTACCTCTGTTCTTGAGTAGCATTGAGTAGGTTGAGTGTAGAATGACTTTCAAACATCATAATGGGAAACTACTACTCTGACAAAAAAGTAGATTTGACCTGGTTCATTGCTGTTCATCCCACACAAGATCATGAGGCAACCCTAGGGGTGACTGAAGTCTGGCCTCCCGTCAGACCTAGAGCTTCATGAACTCAAGAGGAATGATTTTGAAAACCCCCCAGGAGGTTTGGTCATCCTCTTCCTCATTCCTAAGCAATTAGAAGCATTTTGAGAGGACTGGAAGCAATCTGCATAAGCCTTTAGCTCCATGAGCTTATCCACCATCTAATTTAGGGTTTAAAACCCTTGATTTACTTTCAAGCTGATTGTCAATTTAGACCTGACCTTAAGATTTCTCATAACTTGTTACTTGCTTTTTAACTGAATTTGTCAACAGTCAAGTTTATAAAACTCTACTATGTTAGCTAGCCCATTTAAGGAAGAAAGTAATCCAAAAAATCAGAAATGTTCCCTAATACCAAATGTCCCAGTTTTTTTTATTGTGCTATCAAATGTTTTTAAGTTTATTTTTTTCCAATTTGTTTCCTTAGCTTTCAAAGTAATTTTTGTTTAAAATGAAAAATGAATAGGCTTGTTACCATAATTTAATTGTGCTGAATTCTTTGGCCATAACTTTAGTGGCGATGAAGACCAGATATTTGAGCTGGAGAATCTGTTCTGTTTGGATCTGACAGCTGGCTACATTAAATGTCTTGGAGATTTTTACTTTGCATGGAGATGGGGGGTTGGGAGGGTGGGAACCGCAGTAGAAGAAAGCAGTCCACTTTATTTCATGTTCTGCATTTGTTTGCTGATTCCAGTAACATTGTGCAGCTGTTTGAACAGCTGCCTTTTGATTTCCTTTTGTTTACTGTTTAGATTTATTAAGCTTGCCTTTAATACTGCTTATTGTCTCTTCTTTAGCTTTCTTTTTTTATTAAATATATTTTAGTATGTTCTACTCTGCTGTGGTCTAGGCATATTTTAATAAGTTAATTTACCAAAGGAAGAAGTTTTAAAATGTTGCAGACCATACTGAAGTGGCTTATGCTTACTTTCTTATTGTCCCTTAGCTTTATTATTGTAGTTATAGTATTTTGTAATTTGGCAACTAAATTATCTTTTGAAATTAAGTCAGAATTTCAGTCATGTTAAACCACTGTTTATGTTAACTTCTAAGTCTGCCAACAGGTAGCTTAGTCTACATACTTCAGACTACCTTTTTTTAAAAAATTGGCAGACTAATTGTAAAGTATGTGGATTTTGTTTTAACTACTTTCTGTGAACAAATTGAATATCTAGAAATATATACACACGTACAAGGTAAAAAGACAAATTTTGTATTTATTTGTTAGTCTTCTTAGCCTATTCAGGTAGACTTACTGCAAGGTTCTTCAGTATTATGGGACTTTTTTTCTGTATTTACAGGTGAGGGACCTGTGCATTGCTTATATGCTAGTGACGTTAACTTATCTCTATATTGGAGTCCTGGTTTTTGCTTCATTTCCTTCACCACCATTATCCAAAGATTGTATTGAGCAGGTAAGGCACGGTGTAGCCTCTCTGTGTGATTGTGTACACTTTCATGTATTTATAGTAGGCAGGGTGATACAGTGGCAAGATATAACATCAGATAGACCTGGGTTTTAATGCCATCTCTGCTATCTACTCCAAGTATGGGAATTTAGGCACCTTCCCTTTTCTTTCTGAGCTTTATTTTTCTTTTCCATTAAATAGTACAATAAGTACCCCATTTGATTTTTAGATGGACTCTGAGATAATGTACTACGTGCCAGGCACCTTGTGGTACTCAAATAAATGTCTATTATGTACATATATTTCTCTTTTTGTGGGGAACTGTTATGAGTAGTTCTCGTGTAGTTATAAAACCTCACAGAAAATACATTGAATGAACTCCCTATTTTTTAAAGCCCACTTCAGGAATGCCCTGGATAAACTAGAGTCTTAGTTTATCAGACCCTAATGATTAATCAGACTCTCATTCTTATACTGAGTGACAGGCAGCAAAACAAAAAAAGAGTATTTGACTGTTAAAAAAAGAGAGAGAGATGTTCTATGAGTTACCAGAGGGTTTAAAAAAAAAAAAAAGAGAGAGAGATAGAGTAAAAGAAAAAGATATTTTAATAAAAGATTGCCGTAACTAATATTTTCTTTGATTTAACCCATCAAAAACTTAGCAGTCGTATAGTCTTTAGTTATAAGTGACTGAAGAGTTTCTCACAAAAAACAACATTTCGCAAGTGACTTTCTGGTCAGAAGAAATTCCTCTTATAGAGTGCAATGGAATATACATGTGATTTATTACAGCTGAATTATAATGGTTATTTCAGCAGAATAATGTTAATAGTGTTCTCATCTTTATAAGAAAAATAAGTTTGAATTACTGCTATTATGGCAGCTTGGACATGTTCTTATTTTCTTGATTTCCTTGACTCCAGAAGTTCTTTGGCAGCCAAATGTTTGCTGGAAATTTCCCTGATATGAACAAACTCATACAAAGCCTACTCCCTTGGGAATAGGAATATTTGTAATATTTGTATTTGAAAGAAAAGATAAAAATTCTGCGTAATTAACTTTTTTTAAGATACCAAACCAAAATGGAGAAAAGGGTCATGAAAGAAAGAAGAGATAAATCCTTTTCAATTTAGTGATAAACAATGATGCAGTAGGTGATAGACATACTCTCACCTTATTCTGTCATCTTTACATCAAAAGTGCTTACAGTGCTTCAGAGGAGGAAAGCAAGAGAGCCAGAGAGGGTAAAATAACACTGCATTAAATTAGCTCTTTAAATCTTTAAAGCAGACTGGTATTTTCCTTTAACCACATAGAGCAGTGCTTTCTGGATCTATCTGTGGTGAAGGACAAAATTGTCTTTGCTGTTGCTTTAATGTTACATAAATTGCATGCTGATACTTTTGTAAAATAGAATAAAATTGTGGCAATGTCATATTTCTGTAAAAGTTTCTAAACACTCAATTTCTATACTTACCTCATTGAAAAAATACTTAACAAGTAGTTGTGGATGGGCACTAGTCCACAAGTCACAATTGGAGTAGCACCTGTGTTCAAAATAAGCAGAAGACATTCCATTTTATGAATGTGTGTACTGAATTTGATTTTTAACATGACCTCATTATCTTTCTTGGATTAGAATTTTTTAGACAACTTCCCTAGCAGTGACACCCTGTCCTTCATTGCAAGGATATTCCTGCTGTTCCAGATGATGACTGTATACCCACTCTTAGGCTACCTGGCTCGTGTCCAGCTTTTGGGCCATATCTTCGGTGACATTTATCCTAGGTAAGGGCTCTTCTCTTGACCAGCAAGATGTGCCAAGCAACAAATGACTGTGCAAGCAGGTCAGTTTAAAGTGTGACTGATCCTTTTGCTATAAAAATGCCTAATGAAAGTGGTGACTAAAGATAGATCATTGGTGTCCTCTTCCCTGAAGAGCTTTAAAAATAGAAGCCACTCCCTTGTCTAAAATGATTTAAAGTTCGTTCCTTCCAGTATAGTTAATTAGCTCTGATACCACTTATATTTATCTTATTATTTAATTGCTATTGATTTACATGTTGTCAAGAAGTTTATAATGTATAGTACCTATGTTGGCAATGTGTAGCTAATGAGAAGCAACACTTTTATTTTAATTATTGGTCATTGAAGCTATCAGGACCAAGGGAAAAATTCCCCTTTGCCCTCTGAAGGTTTGTTGAAAATGACTGACAAAAGGCAGATTCATAGGCAAAAAGGGCCAGGCTCAGTGGCTCATGCCTGTAATCCTAGCACTTTTAGAGGCCAAGGTGGGTGGATCACTTGAGCCCAGGAGTTCAAGACCAACCTGGGCAACATAGTGAAACTCCATCTCTACAAAATTTTTAAAAATTAGCTGAGCATGGTGGGCATGCTTGTAGTCCCAGTTACTCAGGAGGCTGAGGTAGGAGGAGGAGGATCGTTTGAGCCCGGGAGATAGGGGCTGCAGTGAGCTGAGATCACGCCACTGCTCTGGGTGATACAATGAGACCCTGTCTCCAAAAGAAAAAAAAAAAGCGGAGAAAAGGCATATAAATGTATTTGAATGTGGTTTTATGTTACATGGGAGCCTTTAGAAAGAAGACCCAAAGATACAGGGGAAATTGTCCATTTTTATGATTACGTTTATGTGAACAGCCATGTCTAATGCTAATAGACTGAGTGGGGAAACCCAGCAAGGCCCCTCTGTCTAGATTCTTAGCCTCTCTGAGCATATGTTTTTTTATTTGAGTCTGGGGCAGGACCCCCTCTGTTATGGGAGTCTTATGACCTGCAGTCAAACAAGACAGGCCAGATCATTTCTTTATGGCTAGTTTTTACACAGAAATAGAGGGAAATTCGAGTGATATTTTTAGGTTTTATGGCCAGCTTGAGGGAAAATGTTTTCGTTTCCACGTTGGGGAAGAAGAGGGATTCTAGTTTCTAAGCTAGCTTCGGGAGAATGGGACTGAGATTCAGAAGGTCAGAGAAAAACTTTTGTTTCTAAGGTATGGTTTTCTGAGCCCAACAATCCTTACTTTTATATTCATTAACATTTATGCAGTTTTACATAAATGATCAATTGTTAAGAATTGAAGGTCAGATATATAATTAATTTTTATTTGATATATAACAAGTTTAAATTACTGCTATAATTGTTAACCTCTTATTGGGGATGAAGGAGTTGCGAGTTCTTTTGAAAATCTGTTCAAAGCTGGTTACCCTCATCCAAGAGAAATTTCTATATGTCATTTCAGAGTTTCCCAGCAGTCTTCTTGTGAACTCTTGGCTAACTCCTACTCTTACATTAAGTCTTATTATAGGTTCATCCTAGTAAAAAGAACCTAATCCACTTTTATTAGGAATAAGTTCTTTTAAAGAAATAAAAATTTTAAATAAAATTTGAAAAAAATTGCATTTACAGTAACCAACTAAACAAGTGGTCTTAATCAGTTCTTGTTTAAAATGAACTAATGTAGTCTGCTTCTTCAGTAAATAATTTTCGCCATAAATATGTTGGTTTCAAAACAAAGCAAAAGTCAAGAGTTACCAGGTTCAAGCACTGATAAGTATAGCAGCAGCTATAGTTCTAATATTATTATCCAGAAGATTGGAGCTTAGTAAGTGTAAGCCTCTGATTGTGTTTCTACTCTACTGTATTTATATTCATCGAAGAAAATAAATACAGTGAAGTCATAGATGAAAAAATGCTAAGCAAATACATTATTCCTGTTTTCTGCCATTATTTTGCAGAATTGTGGCTGTCTTTATAAGAATGTTTTTTCTTCTTGGAAAAAGTCAGAGATTTCCCTTTTGTTTTCACATTACAGTTCTTCCCCTGCCACCAAGAACACACTGTCATTTTCATTTATCCAACAGTTATAAGTACTCTATAGAGTGTGCATACTTTGGAGCATAATTTTTGGTCTCAGGACCCTTTATGCTCTTAAAAATGTATGGACGACTCCAGGAGCTTTAGTTTATGCAGGTATAGGTATCAGCATTTAAATATTAAAAAATAGAATTTAGGTTTTTTTTGTTTTGTTTTTTGTTTTTTTGAGATGGAGTTTCACTCTTGTTGCCCAGACTAGAGTACAGTGGTGCATCTCGGCTGACTGCAACCCCTGCCTCCTGGGTTCAAGCAATTCTCGTGCCTCAGCCTCCCAAGTATCTGAGATTACAGGCACCCACCACCATGCCTGGCTAATTTTTTGTATTTTTAGTAAAGATGGCGTTTCGCCATGTTGGGCAGGCTGATCTTGAACTCCTGACCTCAGGTGATCTGCCCGCCTCGGCCTCCCAAAGTGCTAGTATTACAGGCATGAGCCACCATACCCAGCAAAGTATTTTTAATTTCTTTAAAATCAATAATAAAACCATTACTTGTTAAGTAACATTTTTGTAAAAAACCACTTTTGAGGCTTGGATACCCCAGTCTCCATGATGTGATTATTATGTATTACATGCCTGTATGAAAACATCTCATGTACCCCATAAATATAAACACCTACTATGTACCCACCATCATTAAAATTAAAAAAAAAATAAAAATAACTGCTTTCAAAAAATTTTTAATTTGGCCATGCGTGGTGGCTCACACCTGTAATCCAAGCACTTTGGGAGGCCGAGGCAGGTGGATCATGAGGTCAGGAGATGGAGACCATCCTGGCCACCATGGTGAAACCCCATCTTTACTGAAAATACAAAAATTAGCCTGGCGTGGTGGCAGGCACCTATAATCCCAGGTACTTGGGAGGCTGAGGCAGGAGAATTGCTTGAACCCGGGAGGCGGAGGTTGCAGTGAGCCAAGATGGCACCACTGCACTCCAGCCGGGGTGACATAGCAAGACTCCATCTCAAAAAAAAAAAAAAAAAAAAAAACTTTAATTTACATTTGCAAAACTCTAATTTCTGCTTTACTAGTAGACAATTGGATTCTCCTCTCTACTTCTGCATTCCATGTTATAATATGCTGTTTTCATTTAGCTTTGTGAAGAAAATCCAGCCTCACATAGATAGTTGGAAAAAGAAAGAGTACTTTTAATAGCCTTTTCATATACTTCTGGATATTCTTCTTTGATACTGTGCCAAAACCTGACAAGTGGTAGCTTCTTATGAGTTGCAATGTGGAATCTGAAACTTGTTGACATTAAAACCAACTGGTCTATCGTGCACTTTGGATCTTTTACGCATGCATGATTTTGTAACATCTGTTTGATCATTTGGAAAATATTGGTTCACTGAGTTCTGTGGATCTTCCAAATGTTGACACACTTCATTTTACAATATCAAAACCCAATTTCATTAATACTATCACTAATTTCATCATAAGAGCCTTTAAACATTGTCAAGCTCAGGGTAGCAAATACAAGTTTTCCAAAATTCTAGTTTTTATTTGAAAACTTTAATTTTATCTTTGGCAACAAATACTGCGAGTTGTTTTCCTTGCAGTGACAAGCTTATATCATTCATTTTCTGGAAAATACCTGTCCAACACCTGAGTTTGAATGACCATAGTTTGACTGCAATTCAAGTATAAAAAGCATTTGGTAGGCAAAACAGCTAGGTCCTCCTGAGCTCAGCCACACAAGTACTTTTCCTCAGGACTTCCAGTGTACTGTACTGCAGTACACAGTAGATGTGCTTTATTATGACCTTCCCATTTGATCACATAGAATATTTAAAAGATTGTGTATTCAAACATGAGATTTAGCAAAATTAATGTTCTACTCCTTTATCGAGGACCTTGTTTATTCTTTGGAGAGTGTTTGGCAGTAAAGAATACAGTATGGAAAACATGGGTGTTAGCTGGGCATGGTGACACATGCCTGTGGTCCCAGGTATTCAGGAAGATGGTTTGAGTCCAGAAGTTCAAGGCTTCAGTGAGCCATGATTGCCCCACTGCACTGCAGGCTGGATGACGGAGCAAGACCCCGTCTCTTAAAAAAATAATAATAATTAATAAAATTTTAGAAAAGGAATACAGATGAGTACAACTGCCTCCCTCTATGTATACAAAGTTGTTTCCTTTTATAATACAGAAATAACAAAGGCCCAGCCAATACCTCAAAGCTCTGAAGCAATTTTAAGGTTAGAGTTTCTGGGTAAACAATAAGATCTGTAAGCCTAATATCTTTCTAATTCATCAGGGTATATGACTAACCACTTATTTATATAAATAATTTTCTTTGTTTTTAATTCTCTCTGTAATCTTTATCTGGGATTAATTAACCTCTGATAACTTGGGCCCAAAGGGTTGCTTTGATGTGTACATTTGGCTTTTGAGAATCATTTTCAGGGGAAATGGAGTTATTTCTTCAGCATCAAATTTTCATCTACATTATTTTTGTTTGTGTCCAAAATTGATTCCTAAACCTTGAATTGTTAATATCTAGTTAAAGTATTTAGTAAATATTCTGTTGATGGTAGTGAGTAACTTTAAGTTCTTTCTTTATGCTTTAAGTATGAGGTATGACCACTTTCTTTAAGTGGTTAAATCTGGAAAATAAAAACCTGCCCATTTTGTCTTTCCCTTTAATATAATGCTTTTAATATAAAAGTAATTTGAACACTTTATGAAAAGTTTGTTAAATATAGAAAAGAGGGAATGTTATCCAAAACCCCAAATTGTAAAAAAATCACTACTGCCTTCTCAGTGTATATCCTTCTGATCTTTTTTTCAAACGTTTTTGGTGTTTTCTTGTGTAGTGAAAACCTCGCTGACTTTTTTTCTGAATTGCCTAGATAGTATTTTACCTGACAAGGTAATAATGATAAGTTATTTTAAATAATTTTCAACATATTCTGTCAAGTAAATTGTTGCCTTGCTGTGTCTAGGATTCTTCTGTTTTTTCATAAATATCTTGATATTCATAGCATTTTCATTGTTTGGATTATTTTCTTAAGATATTCCAAATGGAATCATAGATCAAAGAATGTGAATTCTGATACACATTACCAGTGTGCTTCTACAAAATTTAACCAGTGTAATTCCACAAAAGAGCTAATTTCACTTTCTCATTACCAAAATTGAGGACTACTGTTGCCTTCTATTTTTGCTGTGATTTTATCGAGCTTAAGACATATTTATTTTAATGATGTTAAGAATGAACTGTATTCTCATATTAGTCGTTATAATTTGCCTATTTTTGTATTTTTTCTTTCCTCCAAACTTTCTTCTCAACTTCTAGCATTTTCCACGTGCTGATTCTTAATCTAATTATTGTGGGAGCTGGAGTGATCATGGCCTGTTTCTACCCAAACATAGGAGGGATCATAAGGTACTGCCTTGTAAAGGAATGGTGCCCTTACATATATTGGTCTTTAGTTTTAGGCTTTTCCTGTTGTTGTCATTGTTTTAATTTAATTGTATGAAATTCCTGTGAGTATTTAAAACTAGTAATATTCAAATACAGCCCCTTGGTATCAGTTAAGATGCTCATTATCTTCCATTTCTGTTTGTTCTAGTGAGGAACTCATTCTAGAAGCCCCATTATCCCTTAGCCTCAGGCATCATTTTCTTTTTCTTTTTCTCATCATCTTCCACTTTATTTCCTCTCTATATCCAAAATAAAAAGTCATTTTTAATATATGTATAACTTTGTGGGAGTACCTGGGAGGTCCTTTATTTGTCAAAGCTTCCTTAATCCATTCTAAGTTCCTTAATCCATTTCTACTCAAAAATATATTTCAATGTCATTTGTAGTCAAAAAGTAAGAGTTTAAGTAAGAGTTTAGACCCTAGATGGCTTTCTTTAATATCCTTTTCCTAAAAACGTGACAGGATGAATAGAGTAGGAATAAAGTTGTACCTCAAATGCTCATGGGAAATTGGGATTTAGAATGATCTCATTTCTCTTACTATAGACAGCAGGAGTGAGTCATTTTTTTTGGAACACTCTTACCTAAGAAAGTAACAAGGAACAAGAGGAGGAGATTGTTAGCCTGTTGCTTATTGAATATAATGGGCTTACAAGTTCCTATTTAACTGTTCCTCAAGAAAACCCAAGTATAGAGAAAAGGAGAAGAAAGTGCATATTTCTCTGTGACAGTCTCATGTTTAAGTATTTTTGCTATTATCTTTCATATTCATGCTGAATGCCATGGTAGCATTTATCTGTTCTCATACTTAAATGGGGATGCTAACAGTCCCTCAAAAACTGAGAATGAGTAATTAGTTTATAAAAGATCAAAGATAGGAGGCCTAACTCCAGATGTTTCTGAGGAAGTAGCCACAATCACCCAAACACAGAGGAACTACAGAGATTTGAGGGATGAATAAAAAGTCTTTGTCAATCTGATGCTATAAAGATGAGCAAGAAATCATATTTTATATTAACTTAGCAAGTAAAGTAAGTTTTAAACCCAGATGTTTTATGTCAACAACAAATGAATCAAAACTAATTTTTGTTGAGCTATCAGACTGAGGAGAATTTAAATTGTACTCTGTTTACCTTAATTGTAAATCAGAAAAAAGCAAAGTGCAAGATGAATATTAACCCCAAAAGCTTTTATTTTGCAGATATTCAGGAGCAGCGTGTGGCCTGGCCTTTGTATTCATATACCCATCTCTCATCTATATAATATCCCTCCACCAAGAAGAGCGTCTGACATGGCCTAAATTAGTCTTTCACGTTTTCATCATCATTTTAGGTGTGGCTAACCTGATTGTTCAGTTTTTTATGTGAAATACCTCAACTGTTTTTTCAAGAGCTCTCATGATATTTTGAGCCTTGACAACAGTTCTATATAAATTCACTTGTAAATGCTGCTGTTGTGTAATTCTAAATATTTTCTAAGATAATTTGAAAGCAAGGGAAATAGTGGCCCCTTAATAAGTATGTTTTTATTGGGGTGGGGAAAGGGGCAAAAAGAATGATCTTATTGTCTTTACCTTTCTCATATTAACTCACCTCTTTATTCTGTGGTCTTTTCTGAATAGAAATGTATGCCCTAGGAAGAAATCATGCTGGGTTTTGCTTTTAGAGATAAAAGGTGGTGGATTTATTTTGCCTGCAGTAAAAATTCTCAGGGTGTCAGAGCAGCATATTGCCAAATCCTGCTTCTGTTTTATGTTTCAGTGTATTCACTTTCATTTTCTTACTTACTAGACCATTTCTGCAGTTTGCCCAAACCTCTACTGTTTGGGACAGTAAACCAAATACCTCATTTTTAAAAAGAAGTTTTCATGGCATCAGTGTTAATAAAGTACATTTTTAGCTGAGTCTTAATCTCTATTTGAAGAAAAAGTAGAGACAAAAGTAATGTCAATGTAATCCCCAGGATCATGAAATGTATACAAAATAAACAAAGTAGTAGAGTTTGTTGCTGTCTGACTCTTTTATTTCTAATCCAGTACCAGTGACTTAGATCGAAATTACAGTTCCCCAAGCCAGATTTTGCATAGGAACAAGAATGGTTGTCCCCATAGACCCAGGGGGTGCTTTTGCTTTTTGGATCCCTGAGATCCCAGCGTAGGCTGTCATGACAGACCCAGTGGAGAAAGCATGGCAGAGAGGAGCCTGAGGGGCCCACAGGGGAGAAGGCAAACAGAAAAGGGGCCAGGAAGGAAGAGGCCTCAGCCCAGCATATTTTGTGTCCTCTGGGGGTAGACTGGTTTCTGCACCACTTGATTTTGTTTGAGGTATGACCTTCAGAAAGAGACCTCCATCTGCTTACTTCTGTAACTGGCAGTACTATTACAGGAAAGAGGTCCTGATCCAGACCGTGAGAGAAAGTTCTTGATCTTGCGCAAGAAAGAATTCCGGGCAAGTCCATAGAGTAAAGTGAAAGCAAGTTTATTAGGAAAGTAAAGGAATAAAAGAATGGCTACTGCATAGACAAAGCAGCCCCGAGGGCTGCTGGCTGCCCATTTTTATGGTTATTTCTTGGTGATATGCTAATCAAGGGGTAGATTATTTGTGCCTCCCCCTGTTAGACCATATAGGCTAACTTCCTGACAGTGCCATGGCATTTGTAAACCGTCATGGCGCTGCTGGGAGTGTAGCAGTGAGAACGACCAGAGGTCACCCTCATTGCTATCTTGGTTTTGGTGGGTTTTAGCTGACTTCTTTACTGCAACCTGTTTTATCAGCAAGATCTTTATGACGTGAATCTTGTGCTGACCTCCTCCTATCTTACCCTGTGACCTAGAATGCCTTAACCACCTGGGAATGCAGCCCGGCAGGTCTCAGCCTCATTTTACCTAACTCCTATTCAAGACGGGAGTTGCTCTGGTTCACACTTTGGACAGTACAGAGTTAAATCCCTGTAAGAAAAACTCCTTAAATCTGAGAAAAGGATTAAGGAATCTGTATCCTTGGAATTGACACTCTTCCTTTTTCTTCTGAACTAAAAGCTAAACTAGAATCCACATTCACGTTTTCCAAGTAATACAGCCTCTGTGTCCAGGTCAGGATACGACATGGTGATGTTTTTTCTGAAAAAACTAGATTTCTCTAATTTTAAGCTAAAGTCTAAAAATCTATTGTATGTTCGCCTCTCAGGATAGTGTATGGATTTGTGTTATTTCCTTCCTTTGAAAAAGAAAAATGGTTTTTGTAAACCTAGTAAGGAGCCCAGATTCAAGATCAGCCTTAGTTTCTTTCAGCAAAGCTTTCTGTCCTATTCATAAAGCCATAGACCTATATTAATGATGAACCGTATTTCTGAAAGCTCTTTTGTGTTAATAAAAAGTCTCATTCTGAAAATCTCAAGCCCACACAAAAGTAATATGGAGTAATACGGTGAACCCTACAATGCCTATCCCCTAGATTTAGTAATTATAAAACTTGGCTGTATTTGCTTCACCTATCTTTTTTTTTCTTTTCCACTGAAATATTATCAATCTCAGATGTTATTTCATCACCACAAACCTTAATTCACAGCTGTTAATAATAGCCTTTTGAACATAGTTATACTGATGGAAATAGTCTCAAAAGTTTTTGTTCACATAAATTGCTGGTAGTAGGAGTTTGGTTAATTGAAAAATTCTGCAGTAGGTATCAGATCACTGTGTTAATTTCTCTTAGAAAAGGAGTATAATGAATGGAGAAAGTGCCTGTCTGTGCTTGAGAGCCCCTGAATCTTTATGATTTCAGAATCTTACTCCGTTAAGAGACATAGGATTCAAAAGCTAGACAGCACTGTGAGTGATCTAGGTTCAATCCCAGCTTATCGCCAGTCACCTTCCTTCTCTTTAAAAACTTTAGAAACAGGGCTGGGCACTGTGGCTCATGCCTGTCATCCCAGTTCTTTGGGAGATGGAGACAGAGTTTTCATTGCTGCTTTTTGATAATGTATTTGAATGTTTTAACACATGAAAAAAAAGATTTGATGTATTTTTGTCCATTTAATGAACTAAATGAATATGACAATGAATGTGGTATTTACTAAACTAAAAGGTAATGTGAATCTTTGCTATTGTTTTCTTTAAAAGACTTGATGTGAGGCCAGGCATGGTGGCTCATGCCTGTAATCCCAGCACTTTGGGAGGCTGAGGCAGGAGAATCTCTTGAACCCAGGAGGTGGAGGTTGCAGTGAGCTGAGATTGCGCCACTGCACTCCAGCCTGGGTAACAAGAGCAAAACATCTCAAAAACAAAACAAAACGAAGACTTGCTTGATGTGGGCACAGTGGTTCACGCCTGTGATCCCAGCTCTTGGAAGACTGAGGTGGGAGGATCACTTGAGCCCAGGAGTTCAAGACCAGCCAGGACAACATAGTGAGACTCTGTCTCTACAAAAAATAAAAAATAAAAAAATTAACTGGGCACAGTGTCATGCAGCTATAGTTCCAGGTACCCAGGAGGCTGAAGTGAGAGGATTGCTTGAGCCCAGGAGATCAGTGAGCCCTGATTGTGCCGTTGCACTCCAGCCTGAGCAACAGAATAAGACCCTGTCTCAAAAAAACAACTTTTTTGATTAAATTTAAAAAAAATTGGCTGGGTATCATAGCTCACACCTGTAATCCCAGCACTTTGGGAGGCTGAGGCGGGCAGATCACCTGAGGTCGGGAGTTTGAGACCAGCCTGACCAACATGGAGAAACCCCTGTCTCTATAGTAAATACAAAATTAGCCGGGTGTGGTGGCGTGTGCCTATAATCCCAGGTACTCAGAAGGCTGAGGCAGAAGAATCACTTGAACCCGGGAGGCAGAGGTTGCAGTGAGCCAAGATCGCGCCATTGCACTCCAGTCTGGGCAACAAGAATGAAACTCCATCTCAAAAAAAAAAAAAAAAAAGACTTGATAATTTAGAACTTCTAAAATATTGTATTAGACTTATGCTGAGTGACTTTGCCTTCTTAAGTTTCTTTTCATGAGATCAACTCTTTCGGCCTATTATTTGGCTTGGTCAGAGAACTCTTTGTCAGTGTGTATATCCTGGTCCACATATTAGAATGATGAGATATGAAGTCATTCATATCACAACTAATTTTAGACCTTCTTTGTCTACTGTCATCTCTTTGAATTTTCTAATTGAATTTCTTTCACTTTTTGCTCTCATGCTTAACTTTTGAATTTAGCTTAACACACAACTGAGGATATTATAAAATAAAATATGGATTATTTAGAGGGGTCTTCCTTAGAAATTCTATATATGAATATGAGGTATGCTAATAGTCAGAAAGGACAAAGAAAATTAAGTTTGACACCTGTGGGTGATATCCAAAATCAATTTTATCATCACACCCAAAAAATGCTTTGGCGTAAGGAATAAATTTATTCATAAAAGGGGACTATATTAAAGGGAAATATTTTATATTAAGTATATTAAGTATATTTTGCAAATGCAATGCAGCTACTAACTATAGAAGTAAAAGACTTTTCTGTCCAGTGCTTTGGAGGAGATAAAGATGTATAAGACATCATTCATATCTGAAATGAACTTTTAATCTAGTAAAGGAACTGTGTACCTAATTATGATGCAAGGCAATTTATGCTGAGGGCTATTAGAGAAACAGATCCCTTTCCGTTGGGAGCCTCGAGGAGGGTTGATAAAAGAAGCCGAGTGGTCAAGCAGCAAGGACCCATTTTCAGGTTTCTCCTAATAAGTGTCCAAAATTTAATATTTGGTACCTTCACTAGCAAATACGATCATACAGGTTAAATGTATTTGCTTTTAGTTTGGTGAATTTCCTCTAAGATAAGTTTTCTACGACTTGTTTAATGCTTCTGTATGCTATTTATTCTCTTTGCATTTTGAACACATTGCGTTATTCTGTTAATCGTGGACAGCAAAGCACAATGGATTAATAGGGCAAATAATTAGTAACACATTGGGTGATGCAAACAGAAAAATGTATAAATTTTTCTCACCAAAGATTTGACTTATTTAAATATCAGTATTCAAAGTGTCAAATGTTTGAACTCATTGATAACAGCAGAAAATATTGATATTGTATGTTTTCTTTACAAAGCACTGACTTAATTGCTTTTTAGAATGTGGTGGTGCTGTTTTTTGGGTTTTTTTAAACTCAATTTCATCCCCATTCAAATATCCAAAACCAAATCCAAATCTAGTCGACACCTAAACAATAGAATGTTACATTAGTTTGTGATCCAAAGTGAAATCAATCCCCCACATGCACACAAACTGGCCTGGCTGGCCGGTTTTACAGTCCACTGCTGCCTTCACTTCAGATTATGTAAACACGTATTGTGAAACAGCTCTGATGGGAACCTTATAACCTAAACATTATTCTCTGAAATGTAATTTGTTGTCTTTTATACAAAAGAAGAAATTAAATCAAAGATAATTTGAAGGAAAACAACTCTGAGATTTTGTTTAATTGCATTTTGCTGGGAAATGTTATTGCCTGGTAGCACTGGCCCCGGGGTCAGGAGGAAGCTGGGTTCCATCTTTCGCAGGGTCAAACTTCTCAAGTGACTTTGCCCCTGTGCCTCACATCAGGCCCCAAGGAGCCCCCCAAAGTGTTCTGATCCTAAAGAAAGGCATATATTACATTATGTTAACTGAAACCTAAAATGACTATCTCTTTAGGACAATGTACTGTTGTGACCTCTCCCTCTAGAATATTTCCCATGAATGTTAAGTAGAGCCCAGTTCCTGGAAGAGCTTGATCTAATCCTCCAGAGCCACTTAAGCCAACAGAGGGCTCTCATTTTCCGCCTTCTCTAAGTAATATTACTTCTTCCCCAGTATTATTTTTCTTTATGTTCCAGCTCTTCAGCAAAAACAAAATAAGGCTATGTCTTTTTCAACTTCTCTATTCTTTTTCAAGATGGAGTCTCACTCTGTTGCCAGGCTGGAGTAGAGTGCTGCAATCTCGGCTCACTGCAACCTCCACCTCCGGAGTTCAAGCAATTCTCCTGCTTCAGCCTCCCTAGTAGCTGGGATAACAGGCGCCAGCCACCACACCCAGCTAATTTTTGTGTTTTCAGTAGAGACGGGGTTTTGCCATGTTGGCCAGGCTCGTCTCTCTCGAACTCCTGACCTCAAGTGACCCGCCCCAACTCGGCTTCACAAAGTGCTGGGATTACAGGCCTGAGGCACTGTGCCTGGCCATTCTTATTTATCTCAGGCCATAAAGTACAGGCCTGGGATGGGGATGGGAAGTTGTTCACACTCCAGATTTTTCCTCCTTTGGCTCTGTCAATCCCAAGTGATCCTATTATGTTTGGTCATAGTAGGCACTCAATATACACTTGTTTAATCAATCAATTAACTAGTCGGAATTCTTTGTGGAAAATAATAAGGTAATTGCTATTATCTAGGATGTTGTTCCATAGCCCCAAAACCATTACAAAATACAATTGCGGTCAGCAGGTTCAATATTAGTCATTCAGTCAGTAACTAAGTACTGACTGGTTGCCAGACCTTACGCTAAGCACTGAGCATACAGTGGTGAACAAGCCAGATGTGTCTCTGACACTTTAATATTCCTCACCAACCTCTGAGCATCAACAACCGGGTCATCCTTCCAGGTGTCACCGAAATGCCAGGCTATTGCCCCTTCCTGCTGCCTGTCTCAACTGAATGCTCTGATGTAGTCACATCATACACATGTTCTGAAGAGACGAATGTAGGACAATGTTGCAGTAAGTAGATCTCTGTAAAATGAAACATTTTTATCAACATAAAACTGCTTTTAAAAAGCTAGAGCTGGGTACAGTAGCTTGCACTTGTAATCCCAGGTACTCAGGAGGCTGAGGTGGGAGGATCACTTGAGGCCAGGAGTTTGAGACCACCCTGTGCAACATAACAAGATGCTGCCTCTAAAAATAATAAAGTTAACCAGGCATGGTGACACATGTGCCTGTAGTCCTCTCTACTTAGGAGGCCAAAGTGAGAAGATCGCTTGAGCCCGGGAGTTCAAGGCTGCAGTGAGCTGTGATTGTACCACTGCACTCCAGCTTGGGTGACAGAGCGAAAAAAAAAAAAGACAACAAAAAACCTAGGTTAATGATAATCACATAAGGTTATGTGGTCACAGAATGAACATGAATGACTATGGGGGATTCTAAGTGACTCATTTATGTTGTTACTTTTGAAACTAGGCCTCATAAAACTTAGAAACTAGGCCTCATATAGAAAAAATTAACACCAGGTGGCTCTGGATAGGGTCCCACCCTGCCTCGATAGGGACCCACCCTGATAGGGTCCCACCCTGCCAATTCCGGGAAACAACCTCATGGGGTCCCACCCTGCCAATTCCGGGGATCCCACCCTGCCTCGAAGTTCCCGGAATCAACAACTCCAGGAAAAAAACCTCATAAGGTCCTGCTCTAACCAATTAGCATAAGACACCTTGCTCAGGCCATAGCTAGACCCAATCATTTTGCGCCTTAAGCTTTGTTTGAATTTCGCGCCATAAGCTGTGTTTGAACTTGTGTTTGCCTATATAAACAGTCTGTAACAAGCAGTCGGGGTCCCAGGGCCAACTTAGAGCTTGGGACCCTAGCGCGCTAGTAATAAATAACTCTCTGCTGTGAATCTCGTGTCAGTGATCCTTCGCGGCGACCCCTGCCCAGGAGGGAATGGACAGTTCGGTTCCAACACTTTATTATTTGCTTAACAGATTTTTCTAAAAAGATGTCTGTCTAAGATAAATCATGGAAAAGAAGACTTGTAGAAATATAGCTACAGTCAACCCATTAAGTCAAGAACTTACCTACAGAGAACCTTCAGGGTAGGTGAGAAAGATCCTTGGTGAAAGGGGTATTCAGGAAGCTGAGGCAGGAGAATCGCTTGAACCCAAGAGGCGGAGGTTGCAGTGAGCCGAGATCGCACCACTGCACTCCAGCCTGGGCAGCAAGAGTGAGACTCTATCTCAAAAAAAAAAAAAAAAAAGAGAGAAAAAAGAAAAGGAGCCCATGCAAGTGAGGAGCCTTGACAGCAACTTTAAGGCAAAACATCCATAAATCACTCTGTGCAGGGGCATTTGGAAGGAATGTTAGAAGGAGGAATAAGAGGAAACGTTTCAGTCACTTTGTTTGATTATGTCAAGCTCTGAGTTTCTCCATTACCTTTAAGAACTGCAACTTTTACCAAACCTAAACTTTTATTTCTGGAACAATTAAATTGGATTTAGCAAAATAGCATGGGATACAAATTCAGTAATGGTTGAGATCAAACATTTTTCTTTTTTAGATTGGAAAGTTTTTACCTGGGTATGGGTCTTTTAAAATATATTTTCAGCAATAATAAATAATTCAAAGAACTGTTTAATTTTCAAAGAGTTACTAGTATTAGTCTATCTTAGCAATGAGGAACTGTTTAAGTGCTCTTGATGCACAAAACAAACAACCAAGAGCAACATTAGAGTAAGGCAACATTTCTTTATACTCCACCTTGTTCCAGAAAGGATCTAATTCTACTGCACTAAAGTGCCCAACTTTAAAGGATTAATGTTAAGATTTTTTTAGAAACTAAATTAGAAATTTATGACACTCCTTGAGAAGAGGAAACTAAGACTTGATTCAAATAATTTTATCACTCCCCAGTGCCATATTATATGTAAAATCTTTTTTGCAGATAGATTAAAGCCCAATGCGATAAACTTCTACTCATTGGCCTAGAGTTGGAAATGCAAAGATAGAGCCATCATTTCTAGTGCTGCGAGAACTATCTTTAATTAATATGAAACTGATTATGCCCTTCTCTGTAAAATCCTTCAGCGCCCCACTAGAAAAATAGGCACAGGGCTGCACATGGTGGCTCACATCTGTAATCCTAACACTTTGGGAGGCCAAGGCAGGAGGATCACTTGAGCCCAGGAGTTCAAGACCAGCTTGGGCAACATATTGAGACCTCATCTCTCCTAAAAATTAAAAAATTTGCCAGGCATGGTGGCATGTGTCTGTAGTCCTGTATCCGGAGTTGGTTCCTTCTGGTGGGTTCTTGGTCTTGCTGACTTCAAGAATGAAGCTGCGGACCTTTGCAGTGAGTGTTCAGCTCTTAAAGGTGGCATGAACCCAAAGAGTGAGCAGCAGCAAGATTTACTGTGAAGAGTGAAAGAACAAAGCTTCCACAGCATGGAAGGGGACCTGAGCGCGTTGCCACTGCTGGCTGGGGTGGCCAGCTTTTATTTCCTTATTTCTCCCTACCCATGTCCTGCTGATTGGTCCATTTTACAGAGCACTGACTGGTTCATTTTACAGGGTGCGGATTGGTCCATTTTACAAACCTCTAGCTAGCCACAGAAAGTTCTTCAAGTCCCCACCTGACCCAGAAGTCCAGCTGGCTTTACCTCAATCCTTCCTGTAAACAGGACACCCCAACTACTGTTGGGAATTGGGCGATGACCACTCTAGCTACTTCCTGCTGGATAGGCGTGAAAAAGTGGCACTGCAGTGTTAGTGTCCTCCAGAGGGGAACTCTCTAGGCCAGTCAAAGGGCCAGTGTGTAGATCCAGGGGTCCTTGGTAGAAGTTTTGAGTTGATCTCATTCAGGGTTCCATTTGTAAGACCATCTGTAGCTTGATGGCCTCGATCCTGGAGGACACAAATTTGACAAGGAGCTTAAAAATACAGGGCCCGAAGGTGAGTAATAGCAAGATGGCTGTCACGGGACCTATAAAGGGGAGAAACCGTGTTGCCCAACTCCAGAGATTGGTATAAGAGTTTGAAATGCATTGTCTGATTTTAGAAGCCTTTTCCTGTAAGCGCCGGGCTGTGTCTCATACTATCCCTGACTGGTTAGTGCAAAAGCAACACTCTTACCCTAAGAAGGTGCAGAGTCCTCCTCTCTCAGCAGTGAGGAGGTTATAGGCCTTGGTGGTTTTGGAGAGTTACTGCCGCCAAAGAGTCTATTTGGGATTGTAGAGTAAGGATAGATTTTGTTATTTCTTGTAAAATGTCAGAAATCTTTTGAGATTGTGGGGTAGTAGGATAGTGAAGTAGATAAATTGTTTATTCTGGTTCCTGTAGCAGTAGCCATTCCTAACCCTATAAGTAGGGCTATTAGTTGTATGGCCCTGAACTGACTGACTTGAACTTTGAGGGGTACTGATAGGGTCTGATTTCCACACAAGCTTAGAAGTTAGGGTATTATATTTTACATTGCTAACTTTTAGCAAACTTTACTTTTGTTGAAAACCTTGGCCGGGCGCGGTGGCTCAAGCCTGTAATCCCAGCACTTTGGGAGGCCGAGACGGGTGGATCACAACGTCAGGAGATCGAGACCATCCTGCCTAACACGGTGAAACCCCGTCTCTACTAAAAAATACAAAAAACTAGCCGGGCGAGGTGGCGGGCGCCTGTAGTCCCAGCTACTCGGGAAGCTGAGGCAGGAGAATGGCTTGAACCCGGGAGGCAGAGCTTGCAGTGAGCTGAGATCCGGCCACTGCACTCCAGCCTGGGCGACAGAGCAAGACTCCGTCTCAAAAAAAAAAAAAAAAAGAAAACCTTGTAAGTTTGGGATATCAATTTGTTTTTTGTTTTTTTAGACAGAGTCTTGCTCTGTCACCCAGGGTAGAGTGCAGTGACATGATCTCGACTCACTGCAGACTCTGCCTCCCGGGTTCAAGCGATTCTCCTGCCTCAGCCTCCTGAGTAGCTGGGATCACAGGCACCCACCACCACGCCCGGCTAATTTTGTATTTTTTTTTTTTTCAGTAGAGACGGGGTTTCACCATCTTGGCCAGGCTGGTCTTGAACTCCTGACCTCATGATCCACCTGCCTCAGCCTCCCAAAGTGCTGGGATTACAGGCATGAGCCACCACGCCGGACTGGGATATCAATTATTCTTTGCTATTAACAAGACCTCATTCAGTCCATATTAACTTAAAATTAGTATAGATGGCTCCTTCCTGATTCTGTAAGTACTTTAAGGTTTAGCTGAGTGCAAACAGCTCGTTTGAGTAGACCAATTATTAGGCAATTTCCCTAACTCTGCTTTTACAAGAGTTTCTTTATCACTTACTGAATACCCATTGTGTCTTTTTCCCTTAATCACCAGGGAGAAACCATCTATTGTCCTGTCCTGAAGGGAGTTCTTCCTAGGTCTGGTCGGACCTTTGTATGGTAATGAATTAAGATTTAGATCCCCTGTTAGGAAACCTGATGGGTGAAGGATTTTTGATAGGAAGGCTATGGGTTGTCAGTGCCTCCCTGTTTTTGGGCTACGCCCTTGTTTACACTGACAACAAGGTGGTATTGGAGTATTATAGGGTCATGGAGAAGACCTTCAATGATCAAGTATAGGTTTTAAATTTACCCTGGCTTTTAAAGGAATAGTGTACACTGTTTTTTCTTTACTACTTCTCTCTCTTTGACTCCTTATTTGTCTGTCTCTTTCTCTCTGACCTCCTCTTTGTCTCTCTGTCTCTTCCTCTCTCTCTTTCCTTCTCTCTTTGACTTTCTGTTTTCCCCCCTCTCTCATTCTCTTTGACTTTCTGTTCTTCCCCTCTCGCTCTCTCTTTCTTTCTCTGTGACTCCCTCTTTGTCTCTCTGTCGTTAACCACTACAAGGGGAGACAACTATGCCCCCGTGAAAGTCCCCATTCTGTTTCAGTCGGGGAATATTGGGGCTTAATCTCTTGGAGAGGGTTGTTCCATACCAAGGGTCCTTCCGTAGGTATTTCTGACAGGAGGTTCCACCTGACAGCAATTTTGGCCTCAGCATCTGTCTGACAGTTTCCTTCCGTGCTTGCTCCTTCACCTTTTTGATGGCTTTGGCAGTGTAAGACTGCCACCTCCTTGGGTTTTTGCACTACATGCAATAATTTCATGATTTCCTTGTGGCATTTAATGTCAGTTCCCCCAGAGGTTAGGAACTCCCTTTCCATATTGCAGCATGGGTATGTGGGATTAGATAAGAATACTTGCTATCTGTATATACATTTATTCTTTTTCCCTTTTCCAGTTCTAAGGCTCGGGTAAGTGCCACTAGTTCTGCTAACTAGGTGCTGGTTCCTTGGGGAAGAGGCTTACTTTCAAGTACTGTTACATCACTAACTATGACATAACCTGCCTTTTGTATCCGATTATCCACAAATGAACTTCCATCGGTATATAGGTTAAACTCAGGATTAGCTAAGGGGACTTCTAAGAGATCCTCTCAGGCGACATAAGTCTGGACTATCATTTGTTGGCAGTCATGCTTGATTGGTTCCCCATCCTCTGGGAGAAAAGTGGCAGGGTTGAGGGCCACACACGTGTGTATTTGAAGCACCAGTCCCTCAAGGAGTAGCACCTGGTATCTAAGCAGACAGTTGTCTGATAGCCATAAACTTTCTTTGGCGGCTCGTATGCCATTTACATCATGAGTAGTCCAGACAGTGAGATCCCTTCCTTGTATTATTCAGATAGCCTTTGATACTAAGATGGCCACCGCCTCAACTATCTGTAAACAGTGAGGCCAACCTTTTGCTACTGTATCAATTTCCTTACTTAGGTATGCCACTGGTTGTGGGGTTGTCCCACAAGTCTGAGTAAGGACTCCAAGAGCTATCCCTGCTCTCTCTGTGACATATAAAGAGAAGTTTTATCCTACAGGAAGGCTTAAGACTAGAGCTTGCACTAGGGCCTGCTTTAAGGTTTTGAAGGCTGTTTCTGCCTCTGGTTCCCATTCTGCTAGATGGGAGGCCCTCTGGGTCTCCTTGATTAGAGTATGGAGGGGCCTGGCTATCTCACTGTATCCAGGTAGCCATAGTCAGCAAAAGCCGGTGATTCCAAGGAGCCCCGCAACTGTTTTAATGTCTTAGGGCGAGGATAAGTCAGTATAGGCTGTATTCAATCCTTGCTGAGGGCCCTGGTTCCTCTGGCTAAGATTAGGCCTAGATATTTGACTTGTCATAGGCAGAGCTGGGCCTTCAATTTAGGCGCCTTGCACCCTGATTAGCTAGAAAGTTCAAGAGATCTAGAGTAGCCTGCTGGCATGAGGCTTCTGAACTGGTAGCCAAAAGTAAATCATCCACATACTGAAGGACTAGAGTGCCTGGACTTGGGAAGTGGCCTGGATCTTGGGTCAGTGCCTGACCAAAGAGATAAGGGCTATCCGTAAACCCCTGGAGCAAGACCATCCACATCAGTTGGGACGTGTGGTCTGTGGGATCTCAAAGGCAAGGAGAAACTTGGAGTCAGAGTGCAAGGGAATACAGAAGAAGGCATCCTTGAGGTCCAGAGCCATGAACTGTTCTGCTTCCTCTGGTATTTGAGAGAGCAGGGTATAGGGATTGGGTACAGCTGAGTATAGGGAAATTACTGCCTCATTGATGAGTCTAAGATCTTGCACTAGTCTCCACTGACCATTCAGTTTTTGTACTCCTAGAATTGGGGTGTTGCAGGGACTGCTGCATTTTCTTACTAATCCTTGAGCTTTTAAATGTCTAACAATATCCTGTAATCCTTTATGAGCTTCAGGCCTTTGATAAAGAAAAGTGATGGGGTCTTTTAGCCTGATTTGGACTAGGACGGGCAGGCATTTTTTGCCCTTCCAAATTGTCCTTCCAATGCCCAGACTTCAGGGTTGATTCCCTCGTCAAGCAGGGGACAACAAATGGGTAACTTGTTCCCCATATTCATGTAGATAATAGCTCTGGCTTTGGCTAATATATCCCTCCCTAATAAGAAAGGGTGTGAGACTTTCAGGCATAACAAGAAAGGCATGTGAAAAGAGCAAAGTCTCCCAATTACAACTGAGGAGGTGGGAGAAATACCTGGTTACAGGCTGTCCCAGGACCCCTCAGATGGTAACGGACCTTGAGGACAGCTGTCCGGAGCAGGAGATTAACACTGAGAAGGCCGCACCAGTGTACAGGGGGAAGTCAATTTCCTGGCCCTCAATGTTTAAATGTACCCGGGGCTCAGTGAGGGTGATGACATGAGCTGGTGCTTGCCCCAGACACCCTCAGTCCTGTTGTTGGATCATCTGGTTGGGGGCTTCTGGCCCAGAGAACCTTTGTCCTCTGAGGCAGTGCACCTTCCAGTGATTGCCTCAGTATAGTGGACATGGGCAAGGGGGCAGCTTGTTTCTCATTCGACAATCTTTTTTAAAGTGTCCTTGCAAACCACACTGGTAACAAGCCCTACCGGGTGATTGGCCTGCTCCATTTTCTGTCCTCTCTGAACCACCAAGGTTTGTTTGTCTGAGGGCCATGACTAAGGCTGTGGCCTTTCTCTGATCTCGCTTTTCCTTCTCGGACTGTTCCTCTTGGTCCCTATTATAGAACACCGAGGTTGCCAGGTTTAATAATGCCTCCAGATTTTGTTCAGAGCCCACAGCTCGCTTTTGGAGGTTTCTCCTGATATCTGCTGCTGATTGGATAATAAACTTACCTTTGAGGATCAATCGACCCTCGAGTGAGTCAGATGACAGGGGAGTATATTTTCTTAAGGCCTCCCGTAGCTGCTTGAGGAAGGCAAAAGGATTTTCTTCCTTTCCCTGAGTTATGGTGGACATCACTGAGTAATTCATGGACTTTTTCCTGATTCTCCTTAGTCATTCTAGAACACTAGTCAGCAGATGTTTGCGACTCCAGTCCCCATGATCCGAGTCGAGGTCCCAGTGGGGATCCATACTGGGGATGGCTTGCTAATTGGTAGGGAATTTGTCCCTTTCTTTGGCTGTCATCCTATCATTCACTTGACTAAGATACCAGGTATTTCCAAACTCTCAGGCTGCAGCTAAAGCTGCATTCTTTTCATTAAAGGCCAGGGTTTGATCTAACAATAGCATGACACCTCTCCAAGTGAGGTCAAAGGTTTACCCTAGACCCTGTAGGACATCTACGTACCTATGAGGATCATCTGAAAACTTCCCCAGGTCTACCTTGATCTGCTTTAAATCAGAGAGAGAGACGGGTACATGTACCTGGGTTGGGCCAAATTCTCCTCCCCCTACAGCTTGAAGGGGACATAACCGATAGCCCGGGGGTTTTTGTGGTCCTTTGGAGATTTCTTTGCTTGTTTCCTTCTGGGAGGGGGAGATTAGAGGAGGCTTATCATTAATAGGAAGGGGAGCTAAAGGGAGGATAGGATATGGCGGTAAGCTGAGAGGTCCTCTTGTGGGATGTAAACTGCAAGTTTTGCATAGTTGTGGATTATCCTTCAGTGAAAAAGAAAGCTTGGACATAAGGTATTTCACTCCGTTTGCCTTCCCTCTTACAGAAAAGTTCAAGCTGCAGGATAGTACTGTAATTTATACTTCCCTCAGGTGGCCATTTTTCCCCATCAGAGAGAGAATACCAGGGCCAGGCCATAGTGCGGAAAAAAATGAGCCACCTCTTTTTCAGGGTTTGCAAGTCCAATTAGTCCCAATGGCTTAGAATGCATTTCAAGAGTGAGCCTGTTGATGCCTGAGTGTTTCCCATCTGAGAGAAAAAAACACCCACAATTTTGGTTTGTTTCTACCTAAGAACCTGCAACAGTCCCTGGACCCTGCTGATCAGAATAGTTGAGCTCACTGATACAGCAGCAGAAACACTAATTTTCCTCTTAGACCACAAAGAGGACCACGGAAGGTCGGATTTAGTGGCCTTTACCAACGCATTCTCAAAAACCAGCCCCTTGCCTTTCCTCTTAGACCACAAAGAGGACCAAGAAAAATCAGATTTAGTGGCCCTTACCGACGCATTCTTGAAAACCTGTTAGAGTCCTAAGCATTTTCTCCTGTTAGTATTGGGACCTTACCCCGTCCTATAAAGATGGTATGCCTCAAAATGGAGTGGAGGGCTATAACCTGAGGGAGGGAAGGGATCCCCAGGGTTGGAAGAGTGACGCCTTTTCTCCGCACTTCTCATCATATGGATAGGAAGGATATAATTTCTGAGGCTCCCCATATCCTAGCTTTGGGAATAGCCTTTGTTAGACCTGCTAGTCTGAGGAGGGATTCTAAAATTCCAAATAGTCCCCTGCCCCCCAGATGGGGCTTTGGGCAAAAATTATGTCTTTCTAATTGGTGAGCCCGGGTGCCCAAGGACGGGAACGGAGTCTTGAAATTTCTACTAGAAGTCATTCTTATAGGAGATACTAGAAGAGTATCAGTGACCGGGAGTGGTTTTTAGAAGTGGGACTAGCCTCAAAGAAGAGAGGTGGGAGGAAGTTTGTCTGACAGGCATTAGGACTCAGGAGGCAAGGGTCAGGATAGATAGGATAGATGGGAGAGTCTCGCTTGGGCAATGTGACTTTGAGAGTTCCGCTCATGGCTGCAAGGTCAGCCAACTTTTTGTGGGAACCCCAGAGCTGAATGGCTTTCCTCTCTGTTGACCCTCGGCTTGGCCCAGAAGTACAGGAAAAGTGGAAGCTGGTTCCAGGCAGACCAACATTCCCAACTCTGAAGAGAGTTCAGGCTTTCCCAGAAAGCCTGACACCTGTGTCTTTAGTCCGGTGGCCGCGCTAGTTGCTTTTAACTGGCTGACAGGTGCCCGGTGTTTAGCCCCCAAATTCTAAGGAAAAAATAGGATAGAATAGCAAGTCAAAGGGGTCCAGTGGTACTCACGACTTGGCGCTAGTCCCATCTGGGTCACCAAGATGTGTCCAGAGTTGGTTCCTTCCAGTGGGTTCTTGGTCTCACTGACTTCAAGAATGAAGCTGCAGACCTTCGTGGTGAGTGTTACAGCTCTTAAAGGTGGCACAGACCCAAAGAATGAGCAGCAGCAAGATTTGTTGTGAAGAGCAAAAGAACAAAGCTTCCACATCATGGAAGGGGACCCAGGCGGGTTGCCGCTGCTGGCTGGGGTGCCCTGCTTTTATTCCCTTATTTGTCCCCACCCATGTCCTGCTGTTTGGTCCATTTTACAGAGCACTGATTGATCCATTTTACCGGGTGCTGATTCATCCATTTTACAAACCTCTAGCTAGCCACAGAAAAGTTCTTCAAGTCCCCAACTGACCCAGAAGTCCAGCTAGCTTCACCTCTCAGTCCCAGCTACTCAGGAGGCTGAGGTGTTAGGACTGCTTGAGCCTAGGCGTTTGAGGTTGCAACAATGAGCTATGATTCTACCACTGCACTCCACCCTAGGCAACAGAGCAAGATCCTGTCTAAAAAACAGAAAACAAAAGTGGGCAAGGGCCAAAACAGACTTAACTGAAAAAGGCCAGATGCAAAAGACTACGTATTGTCTGGTTCTATATATATGAAATGTCTAGAAAGGGCAACTTTATAGAAATAGAAAGCAAAACAGTGGTATCCTAGGACTGGGGATGGAAGCAGACATTAAATGGGCAGAGGGGAACTTGCTAGGGTGTTAGAAATGTTCTAAAAGCGGATTGTCGTAATGGTTGCAGACTATATATTTTCTAAAATCATTAAATTGTACACTTATATTGGCTGAATTTTATGATAATTTATGGTAAATTAATGGCTTCATTATATGGTAATTTAATGTAAATAATCTCTCAAAGTTGTTAAAGAAAAAAAGTTCAACTTCACTGTTAAGGAAAATTTTAATATTTTTTGCTACTTGCCAAATCTACTATTACTAATACCCTGATAAAAGTGTAGAACATGGACACTTATACACAAAGTGTAGCTATAAATGTGGGTACAGACTTTTGGAAGGTAATTTAGCAATGTATATCAAAGCCTCAAAATGCACATATGCCTTGAATCATTTCCAATGTAATATCCTAATGAGACCGAGAGTGGTGGCTCATACTTGTAAACCCAGCACTTTGGGAGACCAAAGCGGGTGGATCACCTGAGGTCAGGAGTTCGAGACCAGCTTGGTCAACATGGTGAAACCCCATCTCTACTAAAATTACAATAATTAGCCAGGCGTGATGGCAGGCACCTGTAGTCCCAGCTACTTGGGAGGCTGAGGCAGGAGAATCACGTGAACCCAGGAGGTGGAGGTCGCAGTGAGCCGAGATCATGCCACTGCACTCCAGCCTGGGTGACAAAGCAAGACTCCATCTCTCTCTCTCTCTCTCTCTCTCTCTCTCTATATATATATATATATATATATATAATCTGCTAATGAAATAATTGGACAAATGTAAAAACACACACACAAAGATGTTCATTTCTTTAATATTTGCAACGCAAAAATTAGAAACAACCTAAACGTCCAACAGTAGGAGGTAAATTAGGAAATATTTATCTCTTAGAATACTGTGTAGCTATCTTAAATGGTGATGCAGATGTATATATGTAATGTCAAAAAGATGTTTATAAATATAAGTAAAGAGATTACAATTAAATATGTGTAAATTTAAAATGTTTGTTTATATACATAAGCATAGAAAAAGGGCTGGAATTTTAACAATTGTGAACATTAGTTGTTTCTGAGTGCTAGAACTATTGGATGTTTCTTTTTTATTGTCTTGTTTATTTGTATTTTCTAAAGTTTTAAAGTAAAATGTGTCATGTCTTATGGGGAAAAGGCAATAAAAGTTTTTCTCTTAAGAAAAAATCTCTGGCTGGGCGCAGTGGCTCACTCCTGTAATCCCAGAACTTTGGGAGACCGAGGCAGGCAGATCACGAGGTCAGGAGTTTGAGACCAGCCTGACCAACATGGTGAAACCCCGTATCTACTAAAAATACAAAAATTAGCCGGGCGTGGTAGCACACGCCTGTAATCCCAGCTACTTGGAAGGCTGAGGCAGGAGAATCGCTTCAACCCAGGAGGCGGAGGTTGCAGTGAGCTGAGTTCATGCCACTGCACTCCAACCTGGTCGACAGAGCAAGACTCCAACCCCCCCCCCCCAAAAAAGGAAAGAAAACAAAAAGAAAAAAAAAACCTCATTGATTTATCACTTAAAACTAATTATAAGGACTCCTTTTGACATTAATAACAAAAATCCTTTGTACTGTCACACAATAGTAGTTGTACTTTTAGTGTTTATTGATTGATAGAAATAATGACAAAAAGCTACTCTAACTTCTAAACCACTTACACATAGCTTTGAATACATTATTACAGTGTCTACGGACATTTAAACAATTACACACACATTTCAGGCTTATTTATTTAGTCCATGTTACAAAACCTTTTGAAACAATTCTGTGGCCTCCAGGTTTGGCAGGACCAAACTAGAGAATAAAGTCTAAATTATTTAGCTTGGTATCCAGGACACTTTTTATTGCAATCTTCGTACTTGTCCAACTTCATGCCAGTTCACACAGAACTACTTGTTATTCCTGGACTGGCCCTGTTCCTTTATTGCATCTACTTTTATATAAGGTATGCCCTGGGACTAAATGTTCTTTTTCCTCCATATCTTTCAGGACATTGCTTGAAAAATCCCCGTCTTAAGTACTTAATTATCTTATCCCAGATAGTTTTGATGTTTCCTTTTCTATGCTCTCCAGAACTTAATGCATGCACTTATCACATTGGATTGTAATTAGTGGTTTATGTATCTTTTCCCAAATAGATTAGGAACTTCAACTTTGTATCCATAGGGTTTAGCAAGTTGCAACACAAAGAGGTGCTTGCAATAAACCTCAATTGATTGAATGAGTGCACAGAAAAAGACCCAGTCCTTGCCCTTAGTGGCTCTCAGGCTGCTTAGGGAGACAGATACCTGTCGAATATGTGATTAGTCTTGTAATAAAAGATATCAATGAGCCAGGTGCAGTGACTCACGCTTGTAATTCCAGCACTTTGGGAGGCCGAGTCAGGTGATCACTTGAGGTAAGGAGTTTGAGACCAACTTGGCCAACATGGTGAAAAACCCCATCTCTACCAAAAAAATATACAAAAATTATTCACACATGGTGGCATGCCTGTGGTCCTGGCTACTCAGGAGGCTGAGGTGGGATAGTCACTTGAACCCAGGAGGCAGAGGTTGCAGTGAGCCAAGATCGCACCACTGCATTCCAGCCTGGGTGACAGAGTGAGATCCTGTCGCAAAAACAAACAAAACAAAACAACAAAACAGAAAATGTGAATGAATACACAGAAGAGGTAGTGATACATTTTGACTGGGTGATTAGGAATTGCTTCCCAAAGTAGGGTCCATTTGAATTAGACTCATTTTGACAAAAAAGAAGAAAGGACAAAGAAAAGCTTTGAGTTTATTCTACAGAAAAATGAGGGTGACTCACCAAGTTGCACCCTCAATCTCAACTCTCCAGCTATCCTCACTACCCGAGCTTCCCTTCTCATCTCACCGTCAAAAGTAACTGACGATAAATTCTTTGTCAGGATACTGAATTGGTACTCTAATCTCCTAGCAGAGTTTGCTCACCTGGCCAGATATATGTTTGAGTGGTAAGAAAAAGTGCTAGATGAAGCATGCAAGAACAACTCATTTCTCGTCCTGGGTTTGTCATGGCCTAGCTGATTAGACTATGATGTATCACATAACTTCTTGATTCTCAGTTTCTTCTTTTGCAAAAGAGGGGTAGTTATAATAATGACAATCCTCTCCAAAGTATCTTACAGTCGTTCAGAAAAATTTAGAACATACTATATGTAAAAGCACTTTTCTAAGCTGATACACTGTGCCAATCCTCAGTGTTAGGATTATATCATTACATTTCTGAGAATACTTGCTGGAATTGGCCAGACCACTCCTCTTGAGGGACTTTCCAGCTTCAGGGAACTTTGACACTGGTTTAGGGAAAAAATCCTGTCTCCCTTGTATAATCAGATCAGTAGTGGTTTTCAAGTGAATGTAGGTAACAAAATATCTGGTAATCATAGAAACAAAATATTGATGTATTTAATTACATCACCCAAATCAGAACTATGTATTCCTAATTTTATTGGCAAAACGGTGAGTCTATTACACGTATGCAAATAAGAAGTAATGGAGATATTCTTCTCCCCAGTTCCTGCCACAGTCTGAGCCCAAGTAGTTACCTTAGCTATTTACTCACCATGGTAGTCAGGGTTCTCCAGAGAAACAGAACCAACAGGATAAATGCATATATAGATGTAGCTGTGCGTGTGTGTGTGTTTGTGTGTACGTGTGCGTGTACAGGGCTATCTCAGATACTGCAAGTTCCATTCCAGACCATTGCAATAAAATGAGTATCACAATAAAATGAGTCACGGGAATGTTTTGACTTTCCAGTGCACATAAAAATTATGCTTTTACTATACTGTAGTCTGTTAAGTGTGCAATAACATTGTCTGAAAAACAATGGACATGCCTTAATTTAAAAATACTTTGTTGCTAGGGAAAAAACAATGTTAACAGAAACCTTCAGGGAGTCATTATACTTTTGCTGATGGAAGTTCTTGCCTTGACCTTGATGGCTGCTAACTAATCACGGTGGTGGTCATTTAAAGGCCAAGGTGGCTATGGTAATTTCTTTCCTTCCTTCCTTCTTTCCTTCCTTTTCTTTGAGACAGGGTCTTGCTCTGTCACCCAGGCTGGAGTGCAGTGGTACAATCATGGTTCACCATAACCTCATATTCCTGGGCTCAAGCAATCTTCCCATCTTGGGAGTAGCTGGGACAAGACCCCCCTTCCTGACTTTCTTTTTTTTTTTTGAGACGAAGTCCCGCTCTTATCTCCCAGACTGGAGTGCAATGGCGGGATCTCAACTTCCGTCAACTCACCTCCCAGGTTCAAGTAATTCTCCTGCCTCAGCCTCCTGAAGTAGCTGGGATTACAGGCCCGTGCCACCTCACCCAGCTAATTTTTGTAT